CTATCGACGTCTGTTTTACAACAAATTGCCCCTCCACCGAAGGTCCTTACCGAGTACCTTATTTCAAAAAGTTTTTATGGTATACATAAATATTTGTCCAGTAATTTTAGTGATATCACCTAATTACTATTTCCCTATTTTTTTTTTTTTTTTAACTTGTGTAAAACTTTTGTTATGGCACCAATAAATATTTTGTATTTGTATTTTTTTTTTTTTTTAATAATAAAATGTTTATTTATTCACACAAAATTTACATGGGTTTCAAAATAATACATATTTTTTAATTGTTCAAAACGGCACCTAGATGACCTAACATCTGTATGTGCTGGTGAAAACGTATAAAAACTACTAGATAATTTCAAGCAAATGTTTAGCAACTAGTGATACATGCCTCAAATGCTAATATACAATATTCAAAAAAATATTCTAAACAGTTCTAAATTTTCAAAAATAAACATTCTACATTTTTTTCGAAATAGACTATTTTTTTCAATCGTCTTTATTTCTAGGGGAATAATGTTATAAATTTTGGGTGCTAAATAATTGACAAATCTAAGATTAACATTTTTTTTTGCTTATCGGTATTTGGATGTGTTTGTTCACCCTGTTTCGCGTTTCATATATATGATTCACATAATTTTTTAAGTTTTCATTTTTATGGATAAAGGAACAAATCTCTAACATGTATAATGTCCTGACATTCAATATTCCATGAGTATACAGTTGTGCAGTTGAATATCTTCTACCTTTCTTGTTTATAACTTTGAGAATATAGTTCTGAACAGTGTTTAACTGTTTTAGAGAATTCCGATATAGACCACCCCACACAACTATACCATAACGTATTATTGATTCAACAATGGCTTTATAAACTGAAGTTAAAAGTTGTTTGTTTAAAATTTCTCTTAGCACATAAAATTTGTGAATTAATTTCCTTAAATTATTTGTAAGATAAAGAACATGATGATCCCATTTCAAATGTTTGTCAATAACAATGCCAAGATATTTTGTGTATGATGTTTCTCTAATATTGTCATCAAAATTTTCAATACATATATAAGTAAAATCAGGACGATCGGCTTCAGTAGGAGAGAATGCTATATAATTTGTTTTTTGCACGTTAAGCGTCAATTTAAAATTGTCAAGCCAGTCTTTTACCTTGGATAACCCAGCCATTGTTTTTTCTTTTACATTGTGCCATGTCTTAGCTGAGAATACTGCTGCTGTATCGTCTGCGTATGAAATCAGGGAGCCATTATCAATCAGTAGGTCCGTCTAAGCGTTTATGAATGTGATAAAGAGTATTGGACCTAAAACGGTTCCTTGGGGTACTCCTATTTTAACCCTTAAAGGATCACTAATTGTGTCTCCGATCTTCAGATACTGTTTCCTTTGACTCAGGTAGCTCTCGAAGACACTCAGCACGGTGCCCCTAATACCATATCCAAACAGCACGTCTAGGAGCAGGTTATAGGGCACCGTGTCAAATGCCTTCGCCAGGTCCAGAAACACTGCGATACACTTTTCACTCCTATCCAAGTTCTCTGTTATTTGTTTGGTAAGTTCATGGAGCGCATCAGACGTCCCAGAACCACTCAAAAATCCATACTGTCTCTTTGAAAGGATATTGTTTATTTGAAAAAAATTAAGTAGTCTGTCTTTAACACATTTCTCAAAAATTTTTGAGAAATTATTTATTACACTAATGGGCCTATAGTTACTTATGTTTGACTTGTCTCCTGATTTAAAAATTGGAGTCACAATTGAAATTTTAATTTGATCAGGAACTCTACCACTACTGAAAATCAAGTTAATTATATGTACTAAGGGTTTGGTTAAATATTCATGAGTTTTCTTTATAAGTTTAGCATCGATTTTGTCCATTCCAGAGGCACTGTCGTTTTTTATTTGACTTATATGTTTTATTATTTCGTTAGCATCGACAGGCTTCAGAAATAAAGAGTGCAAAATATCTGAGTTTATTTTTTGTTCGTTTACTGGTTTTTGTATTTTATTTGACATATTAATTCCAATTTCAATAAAATAGTTATTACAAAAATTTGCCATATTTTTTTCATTGGAGAATGATATGGCATTATTGTCCGTTATAGGTGGTATAGATTTGTTTTTATTTTGCTGTTTATTTCCGTTTGTCGCTTCAGATATTAAATTATAAACTTTTCTTAAGTTGTTTCCTGCGTTTCTGATTTCTTGTTGGTAATATTCATGCTTTCGTTTTTGGATTATTTTCTGGAGAATATTTCTATAGATCTTATACATCCTGCTATTCATTTCATCAACATTCATCAGAAGTTTCTTTTTTATTTTGTCCCTTATCTTAATACTTGATATTATCCCGTTCGTTATCCAGGGTTTATGTTTGCCATGTTCTTTTATTATATGTACTTTTGTACTGGTACTTCTGTCAAGTATGTCAGTTTTTATTTTGTAGAACTCATCAGTTGCGTCTGTTACATCATTCTTTTGTAATACATTATTCCAATTTTGTGACTTTAATATATTGGCAAAATCTTTTTCGTTGGTTCTAGTAATTTTTTTAGTCACAACCTTTCTTTCAGTTGTGCTGTCACTGTCTGACTGGTCTGACTGATTTATATGCAAATTCATCATAACAGGATAATGATCAGTTAAATCAGATTGTAGAATATATGATTGGCATTTTAGATTCTCAATATTTAGTTTATTCCTCACAAAAATATGATCCAAGCAAGAGCTTGTTTCCAAAGTTTCACGAGTTGGAGCGTTAATATAAGAGACGAAACCAAAATGATTTAGCAAAGAAAGGTACGAATTTACGGTATTATCATTTTTTTCGAGGATATTTATATTTATATCGCCCAGAAGGACATCGAACTGAGTTTGCAGTTTGTTATTTATTAAAAGTTGTTCCAAGTCTTCCAAAAAAAGTTGTTTGTTTGTATTGGGTGGTCTATATAGACACATAATATTAAACATTTTATTATTCTTTTGTATAATGACACTGCTTACTGTTACTTTTGATTTCTTAAGTACATAATGCTCAATGTTGTATATGAGTTTTGATTTTATAAATATTACTACACCATCATTCCTATTGTATTTAGCTTGGTTAAAAAACATTGAATAACCGTCAATATGATATTCATTATCATTACTTTCAAATGACTCTCCTAACACCATCATATCACAGAAATTTATCTTATATGTTTGAAGGTAAACCAAAAATTCATCAAAATTTCTATGAATGCTTCGGATATTTAAATGCAATACATTTAACAATTTTTTTTGTAACATAATCTTACCATTAATCGAATCACAACATATACTTTCCTGTTGAATTTCAGTAACTAAAGTCTCTAAATTTTGTAAAACCATGAGTTCTTGTTGTTCAGTAGCCATTTCCACAGCCATAGTCTATTTTTGATTTCACTATGTTCAACAGGTATTGATATGAGGGGCATTCAGTATCACTTGCTTTATGATCTACACTGTAGTTTAGTTTGTACTTGAGATTTGCCATAACACAATTTGCACACTTTTGAAGTTGCTTTGGACAGTTTTTTATATGATGTTCTTCTGAGCAATGTTCGCATATCTGTTTATTTGGACATTTTTCGGTTTTGTGGTAGTGCTGCTGGCATTTAAAGCACCTTGGTATACTCAGATCTTCATAAATCGGATACCGCTGCCATTCAATATATATTGTGTTTGTAAACATAATCTTTTTAAACAATGATGGTGAGCATTCACCAAATATCATGGATGCGGAATTTGGTTTTTTAGATTTTCTGATGTAGGATATTCTAAAAATTTCACTTACTTCTAGAAAATTATTTTGTTCTCTAATGGATCTCGTTATTTGTAGTTCGTCAAGATCGCCGTTGTAACCTATTATTTTAAATCTTGGCAGCTTCATTGTTGTTATTTGAACATCATAGACCTTCAATTTATTTGCTGCTTCATTTCGTAGAGTCTCAATATCCTTCCCATTTGTGCAATTTATAAGAAAGCTACCATTTTTCGTACTTCTAGTGCTTTTTATACATATCTTCAGATCCGATGGTTTTATTGTCTTTTTGATCTCTGATTCTGTCTTCTCTACTGTCTGTTGTTGTTTTGGTGTTATAATAATACTAGGAAGGTTGATTTTATCATTCTGAGGTATTCTTTGGCCCTTCTGTGTCTGGGTAAGTTGACTGTATGTGTATTGCTGTCCTATATTATCTATGCGAGATTTTTCTAATTCTTCTATTTTATTCTTCAACAGGGTAATTATTTCCTCCTTGGCTTGAATTATATGCTGTTTATCTTCGATTGTTTTTTGTAACAGGGTATGGTGTTCAAATTTCTCACATTTTTCACAAATAAATTTTAGCACTCGACTCTCCTTAAGTTCCAAAACTTTTACCTCGGATGAAGTAAGGTTAGCACAAGGCTTGCAGTATTTTCCCTTGCACGTATCACAGCAAAAAATTGGGTTTCTGCTGCCGCCCGGAACTCTGCAAATATCACACTCCATTTTTCACAGCATGAAAATATTGCTTTGTACTAAGTTTTGTACAATTTTTTGTTCACGCGGCCTGGCTAGCAGGAATGTGTTTTTTTTTCCTACCGACCGGTTTATGTTCTATTGTTATTTCATTTTTGCAATTTTACAACTGAATTATGAAATTTTTCACATTTATTCCTACGGCATAATACACTACATACTAAACCGATTGCTACTAAATTTGTTCAATTTGGTCACTTGTAACTCAACGAATTTCAAGAAAAACACAAGAGCGAAATCAGACGATGTTTATCAGACTTTCGACGCTTTCAACTCAAATTTGTATTTGTATTCAGAAACAATTTATTTCCAGACCCAGGAAGCAGCCTTTGGAAATTACATAGAATAAAGTCGCATTGAATCAAGCATGAATAAAAAGAAAAATGTATAGTGCATTGCCACTCAGTAGTAGAATAATAGAAAACAAAAAATACTGTTGATATATGTTTACCTCGTCTTCATCATCATCATCTCTTTCATCCTCCTCCTCCTCAACGTCCTCGTCTTCTGCTTCATCGTCTGCTTCATCTTCTCCCTCCGTACTGTCTTCATCAGATGCGGCGCCTTTCATAATCGTATCCTCTTCATCTGATGAACTATCTAAAATTATTATAGATATTTGTTTACATAGGATCAATAATTGTTTTCTTCTCAACTTACCATCAGGCTCAACAAACGATTCATCATCTGTATCTTCAATGTCTTCACTTTCCAGAAATTTCTTAAACAATTGATTGGCTGCATCGATAGGACTGTTAGTTGATTGAGGTTTTAGTGGTTTTTTCATAGGTGATTTACCTTTAGACTTATTAGGTGTTTGGCAGACCTCACCATTTTTCATAGGGATGCCCTTACTATCTTGAGTTTCTGAATTATCATCCTTTGATGAAACTGGGGTTTCTGATTTTTCCTGCTCTACTCCTTGGTTTTTGTCCGGACTATTACCATTATTTGCCTTATCTTTTTCATTTTCCTCACTATTAGTTTCTTTATCCTCACTATTGGTTTCTTTAGTTTCGGAACTATCAGAGCTAGTAACTGTGATTTCTGGAATAGTACTCTTGGATGCTACTTCTTCGGAATCTTCTAGGCTGTTACCACTACCATTCACTTCATCCTTATTTTCTGTTTCCATTGCTTCATTAGGTTTCGTTTTAGTACTAATGTCATTTGATAGATCTTTTTCATTGGCGTTTTCTTCACTCTCATGACTACTAGTGGTTTTATTGACGGCTTTACTTGTGGAACCATTTTCAGTATAACTGGTACTATTGTAGCTTGAACTTGATGATGAAACCTTTTCCAAAAATATATATCACAAACACATTATTGATTAAATTAGAATTCTTACTTGGTCTTCTTTTTTAGCATTGATCATCGGAGATTTAGCTTGGTTTTCGTGGCTACGCAAGCGTCTTATTGATGCATGGTCCAGGGTTCCATATTTTTGTAAAACTTCAACAATGGGCTGGGAAGCTTCTTTAAAAAGGTGGCTCATGTTTTCCTCTTCTGCCGAATCCTCTTCACCATCTTTCTTACCAGCCATCTCCTTCGGATTAAAAAAAAATGATATCAGTCATGAATAAACCAACTTTATAAGAAAAAAATAAATGTAAAAGTATGTGATAATGTATATGTCATCAGTGAATATTATAAATTCTGTTTCAGTGGATTTATCCGATTTGCTGAGAAATGTCTACTACATAATTACATCAATAATGCATGGATCAAAAAATTCAAAGCAACCCTAGAAAAAATATTTTTTCCACAGCTTAATTATTATGGTGTCTTCAACATGACATAGAGATTCAGAAAAACTGTGAGTACCTATTCCCTCCTTGAAGGGAGGAGGATTCAAAAAATATTAGGCATTTGAAAACAAAAGCACCAAAAACACTAGTTTCAACAAATCTGAAGAGAGATTCTATAGAAGGTCAAAAATAGAGAAGTGCTTTATTTGTCCAAGATTACAAAAAATCTTATGCAATAAATGAATCTATCAATCACTGCTCTTGGATTATTCCTGGATTTATCAAAGGCCGATGACTGTCTAGATAGGGATATACTTCTAAAAAAATTGGAGCAGTACCTACGGGATAAAAGGACAGGTAGGTATTGCATTGGGTTAGATCACATCAAAATCTAAAATGTACTAATCTTACACTGAATTTAATTTTGGGCAATAATGACAATTTTAATTTTAAGAGAATCTTTGGCAGACCTCAAATTTAAGAAGTATTGAGTAGTAGTATTTGTACTTCATTAGCGTTTCAAAACTAGAGAAAACAAACATCTAATTTTAAAAAAAAATAACATGTTAACAAAAAAAATGTAAATCAAAGATGGCTGTGATTTTTTTTTTTTTAAACTACATAATTCACTATTCTACTTTTTTATTCCATTGAAACACAATCCCAAAAATGTGTCATTGTGACATTTATTTTTGTGATCAAAGAACTCTTTGATTTAGACTTGTTACCATACAATAAACTACATTCTTATTAACAATGATTATTACCTTCAAAATAGCAATAACTTCGGGCTGGGCTAATGTGGCATCAAAACCCAAAAATCCATCAATCAAGGCCTTTTCCACATTTCCTTCTTTATAAGCCTCTGTCTCCTTGATGAACTGTGGCAACAGTTGTTCACAGTATTTAGCTACCTCATGGCCCCCATGTCCATCAAAGACAGCAAAAAATGAAGTATTCTCGTCATAATCAAGGATTGTATTGTGTGCATCCTAGAAAACAATACATTACATTGATCTCAATGATTCATTCAGAAAGCTCTATCTGCTAGATTTGGTCCAAACAGATCTGTAAGTTCTCGAGAATTTTCTTTCACTTCTCACCTCGTCCACCCATCGCTCAACATAAGTCATCAAAATTGCCACTGCAAACGTTCGTTTGTGATGGCAATTTTGGCGACTAATGTTGAGCGATGGTGAAAAGTGAGGGGAAATTGTCGAGAACTTATCGATAGCGATTGTTTGTGGTTCGCCTTTAGGTCTCTTCTTAAAACAGAAAAGCTGCAATCTCATGATAACGATTACCACTCTGTTTTCCTGTTTGAGAATAGGAGTCCAGATACCTAGCAGGAAAAATAAAAATCCCTTACTTAGAACTGTGGTTAATGTTAATATCTCAGTTTATATGAACCTACACAAATACTAGATTCTTGCTAACTTGCAACTATCAGGGAATTGCAAATTTAAAAAAAAAAAAAAAAACTTTATTTATTTATCAATACATGCAAAGAAAATAAATAAATGAACCGATCTTATAAAAACTTGGTATATACAGAACAACAACAGGAGAAACTGTTTTGAAGCTTTGGTTAGGATGATGCCTTGTCTAAAGCGAACCCAGATATGTGGTTAAGTATATAAAGCATGTGCAAAATACCATACCGACAGCCTACAAAATGGAACATGTAATTAACGAGTTACCTCCAATTATTATTAATACTGGGGAAGACTCCTCTGATGAGAATAGCACTGATAGCAGGGATTTTTTTTGTCCCATTTTTACTTATACAAGATGTTCATTTTTGTAATAATTAAAGTATATATAGGTAAACAACATCAAATGAAAATATTGCATTTCAAATAAATATGAAATGTAAATATGTATCTGTAAAAAAACACATTTCTTCACAAAATTTGATGACCCACGAAATATTTTGAGAATATCAGGTGGAGCCAGCCCCAAGTTTGACTTTGTTTATATTTTTCATGATTTCTGACTATGCCGAGTTTTACAACTTATGGGTAACCTCTAGGTACACAGACTATATGCAGTTAAAGTACCACTTTACAATGGAATTCAACAATATACCAAGGCTAATAGGTATAAGTGTTTACAGCTTGGGATCATAAACTTTTACAACCGAAAAACAATGGAATATTATCGGCCTCTACGCCTGCTATTGAACAAAATAATAATAATAATCAACCCAATATTCCATTTTCAATTTCAAATTACCCGCGCCTTCACTAAAATGTCGCATTTATCTCCCGCCAATTTCACCTTTTGTCATGGATTGGTTTCTTTCGTTTTTTTTTTTTCATTTATCTAACAAAAATTACTTATCTTACCAAAAAAGTTTTTGGACAATGCGAACTTGGAATGCTGAATCAGAACTTAATTATTGCTATAATATCATCAAAAGCTATGATGAAGTCCAAGTTATTGAACCTCATTAATAATCTTTAAACTAATTGGTTAGGTAACAATTTGACGTTGAACAAAAAGGAAAACAATTTTATAATTTTCACAGGTATACTAGGCCTACAAAAATAATCTAGAAAAAAAAATCCATGCTCACCTCTTGGCTGATTCTCCAGCCTTGCATGCTACTGGAACCACAAACTAATTTGTCATTGGACTTGTCCAGGGATATTTTTTCAGTAATTGGCTTGGACAAATATGATCCCATATTTCTTATTGGTAATTTCAACGAAAATTTAGAGAAAACCGGTTTTATTTCACTTTTAGATTTTAAACGTTAATCATGTTATGATGTTGGCGGCGGTGGCGAAGCGAAGATGGCGACTCGATTTGATTGGACTGGCACATGCACGCACGGTGAAATTTGCCGATCCATTTCCGATTTTTTTGCATTTGACTGACATTCGACAGAATAGATCGAGGGCGCGTTAAGAGCTGCTTTCCGGGGAGTATGACGCTCGGAGCTACTCGGAGCGTTGAGCTCCGGAGCTGTACGTACGGTCGTACACTGGAACGCCCAAACAAAATTTTGAAACAACACGCGGCGGCTCGCCATAACCTGTCAGCTGTCACATCTGTGGGTGGCTCTTTATCAAGGATAATACACATTACTTATACAGGATAGCCTATCCTCATAATGCCCGTGTAGAACAAATCTGAAGCATCCCAGTCCCAACACGCCAAATCACCAGTTGTGACGTAGGCAGCATGTCTTTTCTCGCCTTGGCGTAGGCTGTTTGCACTACGGGTTATGATTCCGCGGGCTTTTGCTTTATGCATACTTGGTTTTACTACATTAATTCACATTCAAAAACAACTCCGCTTTAGATCTCGTTTGCATCTTCCTCTTTGCCTATTATGTTAATCGAAATTAAATCATATTTTTCATCATTAATTTAAATTTTAAACTAGGAACGCTGGCGCAAACAGCTGACGACTTAGTTAATCACATCGCCAATGGTGATACACCAATATGGCGGCGATTACCAAAAACGAGGCCGATAAGCAATCCTTAGTAGTGTGCATTATCCTTGACTATTTATTTATTTATTTCTTGTTAATTTAAGATTTTAACCTTTTCTTTTCCTCGGGACCGAACATTCCCAAAATATAATTTTGATTCTCTTCCATTTTTGATAAATAAATGAACAAACTGCACAATTAAACAGATAAAGGCAAGAATGATAAAGACAGTTTTCGTTGCTTACAAAAGATTCCGGGTAACGCTATCTGACAACTTTGACATTAGAATCTTGTTTGTCGTATACCGTAACCGCTTATGCTGGTATTGTACGGACGGTAGACATAGGCAAAAAGACAAAAATGGGTTCCGATACAAATTCATGCAGCTTATTGACAATAATAAAAAAAGCAGAGTTTGTTTTACAGAGGAAGGGGACCAATTTCACTAACTTTACTAACCAACTTTATGTGGTATCTGTATTAAACTCGTTTGGCATTCTGAGTACTTCTACAAATCTCAAGATATGGTTTTTTCGAAGCGAAAATTAACTTAACACTCGTTTTCTGACCACACATCTAGGTTGAACCTACCCCAAAGATCGCCTTTGTATTTAATGTTGTTTTCCAACACATTCAACAAAATTGTCTCTTCAAAATCAGAATCTGAATCATCCTTGGAGTCCAATAAAATCAATTCGTCCATCATTTTGTAGCAAAATGTACAGAAAAACAGTAGTAGAATAAATTTATATGATAACCAAACAGAAACAAGAAATACAAAAACCAAATCAAAACAAGGGTGGGAGCTACGCTGTCAATTTTACTGAACTTTTTGCTGGGGTTAGAGTTATAGTTTACGGTAACGGTGAGCGGGTCTCGTTTCTTGCTCCGAAAAATAGTTTTTTATCTTTCAAATAGCGGCTATGGTCAAGATTCCTAAAGTTCATAGGTTGTCTGGGTAATGGGTAACTTGATGACGCGTCTGGGATGCTATGGAGATTTGCATTATGTTGAGACACCCCAGTAGCGTTGAAGTTTCAATAAGAGCAACGAAAACTCCCTAAATATTTTTAAATTTTGACATATTGGACCCTTGACATCCGTGATGCTGAAGCTCCGAGAAATAGTTTGTATTCCTTTCACACTGGAGGAGCTCCGGGGCGTCTCGCGCTTATTCCTTCCGAAAAGTGTTTGTTGCACCACGCATCTGTTCCTTTCAAATCGGGAGCGACTAACACCGGAGCGAGTAGTTCGAGTGTTTCAAACTCTTGAAAGAAATACAACTAATGCGTTGTGCGTCAAAGGGCAGGAGAAAGGTATATGACACAAGGATTAATACACAGTACCAAGGATAAAACACACTACTACTACTACTACTACAGGATAGCCTATCCTTATAAGGCATGTGTAGAACAAATCTGAAGCCCCCCACCAGAGCCGCTTTCCAGTATGGGAGTGTGACGCCCGGAGCTACTCGGGGCGTTGAGCTCCCGAGCTGTACGTACGCGTCAACCTGTCAGCTGTCACATCCGTGGGTGGCTATTTATTTATTTATTTCTTGTTATATCTCAAGATTGAACATTTTAAAAAATATAGTTTTGATTCTCTTTCATTTATGATAAATAAAAAAACAAACTGCACAAACAAACAGATAATTATTTTTAAAATTTGACATATTTGACACTAAGACAGGCGTCTCACGTCATGATACTGGAACGGTACAAATCTAGTGCGTGGCGCCCCCGAGGTGCTCTAGAGCGCGCCAATGTGCATACTGGAAAGCGGCTCCTGTCAAATCACCAGCTGTGACGTAGACAGCATGTCGTTTCTCGCCTTGACGTAGACTGTTTGCACCACAGGTTATGATTCCGCGGGCTTTTGCTTTTATGCATACTTGGTTTTACTACATTAATTAACATTTTAAAACAACTCCTTTTTAGGGTCTAGTCATTCTTCATATATTAAGGCATTCTCTTTGGCTTCTTCCATATGGTTATTTAGAAATTATATATAAACTAACAAGCGACTACGTTCTGCACCGGACTTCGCTCGGACTGTTCAATCTGAACACGCCCCTCTGGAACTGTGTGAATCCGATTTCCGCATTATTTGATGTGCGAAGCAACTCCAAACCATCGTGATGTCACACAGTAACCTCGTGCTAAAGAAATAATTCGCCGGTATCGGTATCCGTAACGCAACTAGATACGTTGACAAGCGAAAAGGCTGTTAAAGCGCTCCCTGTTCCGGTAAACGTAAACACATCTCATAACATAGAAATTTTTGTCTCAAAACTCCGGCGTTTTTATATCAGGATTTATGTATCGTTTAATTAATAATAGGGCACCATCATACCTATTTGAAAAATTAATACCTATAAATATGGTTCATAACAGAAACATCAGACACATCACATTGACCATGCCACACCACACCACCGCTCTATTTTCTCGTTGTTTCACATTCAATGTTGTATTTTTGTTTAATCATCTAAGACCTCTGACTTGCATTCCTCGGTCTAGCAGCTTCATAAAAAATACAAGCAACTATTTTTGGAGGAGCAGTTGGCTATGTAGGTTAGTAGTGAGTAGCATTTATACATGTATACATATATTTATTTATTTATTTATTTTTTTAAAGTTTTATTATTATTTTTTTTTATTTTTTGTTTGTTTGTTTGTTTTATTTTTTTCTTTTTGTTACATGAATATTTTTCTATTTTGTTATATTAGGCATCGTTCATTATTGCCGTTACTGTGATTGTTGTATTAGTAAAGTAATTTAATATTTGTATATAGGGTTAAGAGTTAATGAGTAGCTTTAAGCTAATCTTCGCCCTATGGGCAAATGTCATGAACATTTGTTTTCAATAAAGACATTTTATTATTATCTAACCTTAAAATTGTTATTTTTTTTGCGATAGGGAAGCACTAAAAACACAGGAAACTCAAAAAAGTATAGGTAAACTAACTAAACAAATTAAATCAACCCGGGAGAAAAGTGAGGTTATATTCATTTAAAATTTGACACATGCGTCAGGAATGTCAAGATACGTTACCGATACGGATACCGCGAGAGGGCCGTAACGTTACGTTGTACGTACAGTGGCTAAATAAACCTTTACATACAGTGGCGACAATAGAGGTTCTGCCGCCATCTTGTTCCCAACCTCTTGTTACTTTTAAATAATAATATATCGGATTCAAATGGACATCTATCATAAAAAATTGAAATCGACGTATTTGATGACCATTATTAGGTCCATCAAATTCGTTGTTTTCCATGATTTATGATGGATGTTCACCTAAATCCCATATATTCATATTCAAAAGTTACAAGAGGTTGGAAACAAGATGGCGGCGTTTTCAATATAAATATATGGGATTTTAGAACCAATCAAAAATAAGACAGCAATTGTCGCCACTGTGGTTATAGAGTCACTGTAGTTGTACGTACAGTGACTCTATAACCCACAGTGGCGACAATTGATGTCTCATTTTTGATTGGTTCTAAAATCGCATATATTTATATTGAAAACACCGCCATCTTGTTCCCAACCCCTTGTTACTTTGAAATATGAATATATGGGATTTAGTTAAACATTCATCATAAATCATAGAAAACAAAGTATTTGATGGACCTAATACTGGTCATCAAATACGTCGATTTCAATTTTTTATGATAGATGTCCATTTAAATCTTATATATAAATATTTAAAAGTAACAAGAGGTTGGGAACAAGATGACGGCGGGACCTCTATTGTCGCCACTGTATGTAAAGGTTTATTTAGCCACTGTAGTTGTACGTACGGTATCTCGCACATGCGCAGTAAGATACCGATACGGATACCAAGCAAAAAATACGGAAGCTTTATGTCCTTATAATTGTAATATGTGAACTGTATTCTGTTCCATCAACTGGTATATTACTTATTATTATTTCCTCGTTAAATTTAAAACTGAATTTGAAAGTCTCATATTCCATTTTGTGCAATGGCAATAATGAATAATTAATTTCATTAAACTAAACACCTTTTCAAAGTTCCTGTTCCAACGAACAACTTTCATCAAAACAAAAATAAAGAAACATGTACCTCAATTTAGAAATTATTAAACGTCAAAAATTCAAAAAATGCGTACTTCGCGCCAACTTAGGTCAGCTAAGTTATCTCAGTTAAAAATCCGGGTGTCTTAACAGGGGTAAGGGGGGAGGGCAGATTCTAACTTAGTTGTGACAAATCGTACGCGCAACTTAGTCAGATTCTTCAAGTGTAAGAAAAGTGCTTGATCGTAAGCAGCTCTAGTACTCATAACTGCGAAATTCGCTCATTTTTGACATTGCTTCGACAATTTGACGTTTGATTCACGCATAGAACGTCAAATTGTCGGCGCAATGTCAAAAAAGATCGAATTTCGCAGTACTAAACTTTAGGAAGAGGAAATTATTTATGAAATATAGCTTGAATTTTGAGTCGAATCTAAAAATGAAATAATATATAGGGTGTCCTATTTAAACTGGGCAAGTTGACATCAACTTCCGGTATAACACATGGTTCTACACATGAGTTACCTACATCCATAGTCCATATACCAAAGCATCAAATACTAATATCTGACATATTCACCAAATTATCTACGCTAGATATCAACAAAGGCCCTGGTCCAGATGGAATACCAGCCATACTTCTAAAAAACTGCACTTTTAACCTTTCAAGGCCCCTTTACCACATTTTCAACCTATCACTACGTACTAGCGTTTTTCCAGAGTTTTGGAAGGAAAGCTTTCTCAAGCCCATCTTTAAATCCGGAGATAGAACCTTGGTAACCAATTACCGACCCATTAGTATTATCAGCACAATCCCTGAAGTTTTTGAGAGCCTATAGTATGTGACTTTTTAACCCCCCTCTTAAAACCTAAGTTAATCAATGAACAATTGGGCTTCAGACCGGCAAATCAACTGAATTAAATCTTTTAACTCGAGTGGATTATCTGTTGGATGCCTTGGAGAAGGGACTTCAACTGGATACAATTTACACTGACTTCTCCAAGGCATTCGACAGGGTCTCCCATACCATGTTATAACATAAGCTTAGGTTGTTTGGGATTGATGAACCGTTGATCTCATGGTTTCACAGTTACTTGTCTGGTCGGAGACAGATTGTTAAAATTGGCAATTTCCTCTCCAAAATCATTCAGGTTACCTCTGGGGTGCCACAGGGGTCCCATCTTGGGCCACTCCTTTTTAATGTCTTTGTAAATGATATTCACGAATGTTTTACCATATGTCTTTTCTTGTTGTTTGCCGACGACCTCAAAATGAGCTGCATAATAAGAACTCCTGAAGACTGTGACAAACTACAGTACGATCTTAACAGCCTTCAAGATTGGTGTATTGGAAACTTCATGGATCTCAACCCTTCTAAATGTAAAGCCATTACATTTTCACGTCTAAAAAATCCTATTAAATTTAATTATAAAATTGGTCAACACATCCTTGAGGAAGTTTCCATTATCAGAGACCTTGGTGTTTCTTTGGACACAGATCTTTTCTTCACTAATCATTTAAACAATGCAGTAAATAAAGCTTTTCAAATGCTGGGTTTTCTCAGAAGGACTACACAAGATTTCACCAATGTTACCACCTTAAAAATTTTATATTGTGCCCTAGTACGCCCTCATCTAGAATATAAATTCGTCTACTATTAAAACAACTAGCACAAGGTCTCTCCAAAAACATTTATCAATTCTCATTCTCATCCAGCTAACTTCACCACAGAGCCCTTGGAAAGCTTGTCAGGGTATACCGTTGATCCTGATACCCCTGTGTCGATGGTCGAATGACATTCCTTGCTGTTAAGAGTGTCATTTGCATTGGCAACTCAATCTGGGAGTTTGAGAATCAGTTTTCGTTCGCCACCTTTAGACTGTTTCCCCGATGCGTGGGGCCAGTGGTGTCATCTCCTGTATCGCGGTCTCCTGGGAACGTCGCTCACAGTTTCTGCTGGGGCATATGCCTCTTGCGTCTGGTCTCCCATCGAGATTCTGTACAGCTCGTTGAACACAAATTTTTGAAACAAATTGCCTTTAAACTGAATATTTTGAATAATTATAATGATTTACAACTACTTTCTATGTTGAATATGGCCTCAATAGCTATGCGTCACAAGAGGAGAGATTTTACAACCTTCTATAATATCCTACATGGGAAGGCTTCGACTCCCGAAATTCTTCACAAAATTAGCATTCATGTCTCTCCTAGAACCACCCAGGTCGAATGACAGTTTTCATATTCCGATTCATCGAACTAATTACGGACGCAATACTTTAAATTGCTGAACAGCTAGACTTGCAAATGAGCACCATGAGATTGACCTTTTTGCCCCCTTGAGCATTTTCCCGAGTCAAGTTCGTCATACTTTTAGGTAGTTGTTAGCAAACTTTTATCATAAACTGCTAATCCCACCTCTTATAACTTTACTGTACCTACTCATTATTATTTGATTTTTACCTAAATCTACTAGTCCAATCTACCTATCTAGCCTTACTCATTTCTCATCAAGTTGCAGGGCTGTTTGTTGTTGTTATTATTATTATTATATAATTTTAAGAGTGATTAACTTTATTTTTGTTACATTTGTTATGTAATTCTATATTATTAAATTGAATGTTTAACATTTTGTAAGTGGGCTCGGCCCGTTGATAAAAAAATAAATAAATAAATAAATAACCGAAAGTGCCGCAATGTTAAAAAAATAACCGAATGGCCTCCATCGACATGACTATTTTGTCAAATTTTGAAAATTTTCCAAACTCTATTTTCTGAGAGTTTATTTTCCAAATAATAAGTACCTACTCTCTAAAACATATTTGCAGTTATTCCGCCTATGCTGGAACATGTTACGGTTTTGCAGAATTCAAATTGTGGAAATTTAAAAACTTTTTGTTTTGTCTCAGAACTTGTTACTACGTAAATTTGAATCACACATTCACAAAGCAATTTGAAATAATATATTTTTTTGGCATAAAGACATTTTTAGAAATGAATAAAAGTAAATAAATAAATAGTCATACAAAAACAAATATTAAATGTCACAATAATTAGATTATTAATGATCCTTTGTATCAACGTTTACAACAGAATTGGATGGCACTAATTCCATTAGTCTAGCATAAGCTTTCCTTGTTGATTCTTCACAGCACGATTCCAAAGTAACTTTGGCTTTATAAAAACTGAAAATAATAAAATTGTATACCTACATATTTTTTCAAAAATATGTAAGTACATGTTATTGAGTGATAATAATTTTTACTGACCTATCAAACATTTTTGGATAACACCCGAACTGTACATCAGGAAATTCATTTACAACTTGTTGTAGCTCTGTAACTATTTCGTGTTCAGGCAAGTTACAGTAAAAATGTCTGCTAAAGAATTTTTTATCTGATTTAAATAATACAGATCCTGCTTCTAGCATAGATTTCTTCAATAATTCTGGTATACCCGGAAACATATAGACATTGTGTATAGATACGTTTGGATAATTTAATTTTGATCCAGATTTTGTTTTGTAGTTCAGCTTGGAGGATTTTGGAACCTAAAGGAATCAATCTGTTACTGTGTGCAGGTAGATAACAAGCAAAATATTGAGGTTTTTGATAAAATTACAACTTTAGGAGCCATAAGGAAACAGATTTTGTTGGTAACAGCGCTTTTGAACACTGATTTCTCCTTTGTCATAAAATTTTCTAGGACTGAGAGGAACAAACAAGCCATGATTTTCTGGTTCTAACTTGACACATTTAGGTGTTAAAAAATGCAGTTGATTGACGGAACTTACATGAGCCAGTTTCATGCCTACACCATTAGGATCCTGTGTTTTATAAAAATGGCTACATATTTCTTTCAAATCAGGATGTAGGTGGAGGGTCTCGTTAAAAGCAAGGGCAACTCCTGTACATTCAATAAATATTATTAAAATGCATTTTTAAAATTAAAATTACTCATTAATCTAACCCTCATAAGTAACATCGTCATGGGTGGGTCCAATGCCTCCAGTAGTCAGTACATAGTTATATTTTTTTGAAAAATCTTTCACTTCCTCACATATAGTGTTTACATTATCAGGAATCACAGTAATCTGAAATTTGGTATTTAGACAATGAAAGCTTTTATGAAACATACCTTTTTTAATTCAATCCCCAATTTATGTAGTTCTGTTGCTAGAAAAGCAGAGTTTGTGTCTTGCACTTGACCTCTTAGTATTTCATCGCCTATAACTAGCATAAACAGGAGAAGAATGAGCAGTTTTTTTCAAAGTAAAAAGGAGTTCAGGCGAAAACCTACCGACAATTCCTGCTGAAGTTATTTTCCGATCTTTTTGAGAGCTGCATTTTTTAATATCACAAACTTGTCTGTTTATAAGTCGAAACACCCTTCCTGTGAGCATATTTATTTTATTTAATGTGTTTGAGGTTATGTGGGTCAGTTCCGAGGTCAGTTTTAGTTGACAAATGAAATGGGTAATTCAAAATTATTGTTATAAGAGTTAATTGATTGTTCACAAAAAGAATAAGGGTACAAGAATAATAAAACGTCTTGACAATAAAAAATTACCTATTTGAGGAACAATATAAAAACATGTTGGTACCTGTCTACTCAGATTTTTTGACAAAGTTAAAAAACACAAATAATATAACATCACATGAGAATGTATGACATGTTAAGTCGTTTCCAAAGCCTTAAGAAAGTTTGATCGAAGTCTGTTGACTGCTTCTCAGTCAGCATCTTTATTTGGGCACCTAGGGTAGGTGCTATCAGGTCTTGAAAAAAAAAAACAATCAAAGATTGCTTTTGATTACGAAAACGTACGTCGCATTATTGTTTATGGGTCAGGGAAGACCCGATATAATATTATCATCAACGGATATTATTGTGTAGTGTAGGTATCTTTATTTTTTATAGGCAATTTAGGAAAAAAAAATACCATGTTTTATTTGAAGTTCTTCTGAGGCGTTCATTAGCTATTATACAGACTTTTGTCAAAAGTATCTATACCTTAAACTTGTAATGAAACAATAATATTTGGTATTTGGCTGTTGGAAAAAGAAACACCAACCCGTCCAACACAAAGTGTTGAAAATAAACTAATTTTGGAGATAATAAACAAACTTTATTCAAAAATGTAATTTTATTAAACTACCTCATTCCCGTACCTACATAAGTAGTCATGACAGAAACAAAACATAATATAATACTGAAAAATAGCAGCCAAAAAAATCACGAGTGAAATAAATAACTACCTACAAACTAAAAACTAAATTGTTCTTGCGCTTAACTCGGCAGCACATATAGAATACTAAAAATTACTAGCTAAAAAAATCACAAATAAAATGAAAAGCAAAGCTACAAACTAAAATATACCTACTCAGCGCCCAGCGGAGAAGTTAAGTATAATAAGTTAGAGCCATTAAATGATTGGAAATGTTTTAAAGAAAGGTCTATTTAAAAAAAGTATTTAATCAACTCTCACAAGTGTGGCTTTATTTCTCACCCTTGTCATGATTAACCCAGTTCTCCATAATCCACGGATGCTTCATAGCGTCTTTTGAGGACATTCTTTTGTCACCTTTAATGACGACCAGCTGAAAAAAAAAGGTTTAGAAGGAAAGTTTAAGGAGGAAGTGGAAAGTAATATTTTGAAAACTAAATGAAGAAGGACACCAAAGTCGTTTTCTCGCGTCCACTTTTTTGACATTGGTTCAAAACCAGTTTGAAGCAGTCAATGGAAACACCATTGCCCATTTCAAACCTGTTTTGAACCAACATCAAAAAAGTGGACGCGAGAAAACAGCTCAGACATAACCAGATTGCAACCTGATCCTCTACAACTATAGATCCGAAAAACATGTCGAGTCGGAGATTCTCGAAATTTAACGCTGAGGAACAACCTTCGAAAAGAGCTGAACTCTGATCTATATGAGTCAATGAAGGTAGGTAATAGTGAAAAAAGAAGCAGGGAATAAAAACGTGGGGCTTCATGCAGCTTTGCTTTCACATGTTTTTAGTCAAAACCAGAATAAAGCCAGGGACACATCTATCATGCATTCTTCCGATCCGACTCAGATCATACAATCAAGGTCCTTATTCTTGGAACAGGGGAGCAGCGGAACACTCGTTCTCCTGAGAACGCTGCTTCCTGTTGTCCAAAAATAAGGACCCTCATTGTATGATCGGAGTCGGATCGGAAGGATGCATGATAGATGTGTCCCGGGCTTAAGAAGGACCCAGCCTCCCGATTCTCAACCTCTAGTCGCAACCTATCGACACCGACTTCCCATTGCCTTTCTACAGGGAGTCGGGACATTACGTATCGACTTGACGATTGAGAATCGGTACCCAGGATGCAAAGAACGAAAAGCTTCTAGGCACACAAATAATGAAGTCATTAGTGTTAGGTGCGAAGACCTTCTTTGCGCATCAACAGTTAATTGATGTAAGCAGGCGAAGTATAACGCTATCGAAGCAAAACAAAAATAAATCAAAAGCAGCTTAGCAAAAATTCAGAGATACATAGTTCAAAAAATTTCACTTATGTGACTCATTTTATAAAAATGATAATGCTCTTCTTTACAAACTAAATTTGCAATGTCGGCCAATATATTAGGCTTAAAATAATGATTTTACTATTAATGTGCATATGTAGATAAATAATGAAACTAAACATGTACTCACCTTAGAAATAAAGTCCTTAGCCTTGTCAGTAATGTGTTCACCAAAATGCAAATCTCCAAGTCTAATTCGTCTCAAAATGTCATCTGAATTTCTGCCTTTAAAAGGAGGGTAGCCATGCAAAATTCATAGCATAAAATTCCTAAATAAAAATTAATATTAAATTGGGGAAAAACACCATTGAGAAAAGCCAACCCAAACACCAATTATCGATCCTATATTCTTTGTCGTTAACCATTTCAGGTGGCAAGTAATCCAAAGTGCCGCAAAAAGTGTTTCTTTTCATTGAAGGCGAGTGAACAGACCAACCAAAATCGGCCACTTTAACATCACCAGTAATAGGAAGGAGCAAGTTTTCAGGTTTGATATCTCTGTGAATAACATGGTTTTGGTGGCAATATTCTAAGGCATCGGCAGTATTTCGCAGATCTCTGATTACCAAATCTACCAACATTTTTTTAAATGTTTATATAACTCTCTTTTTCCAGCATATTCCAAGACTAAGTAAATACTGTAAGAATCGTGGAACCAGTGGAGTATGTTAGGATGTTTTAAGTGGCTCCGAATTTCAATTTCCTTCAGTACTTATCGTTCGAAGCATTCCTTGACAATTTCCTTTTTCAGCAGTGTCTTCAGGGCAACTAAAAATCCACTGTGCTTGTCACGCCCCAAGTATACTGTACCAAATTTACCTTTTCCCAGGCACTTTTCCAATTCAAAGTTGTCTAGGCTCCATTTATAGCTGTAAATAATAGAAAAATGCTCTAAAATGTGTAAATAAAATACCTACATTGCAAATATAGGTTATTATTTCAAAATTTATTACTGAAATAACTTCAGGATTAGTGATAGACGCTCTTGTTGAGAAAGTTCCAATACTTGTTCAAAATTATATATATATATATATATATATCAAACACTTTATTAGCAATAAAAAGCTCTTACAAAATGAATTTATGAAATATTTTAAACCATTAGGTATATACCCAACATGGAATGTCTGTAAAAGTATTCAACAAAGTCTATAAAGTTCTTACATATTTTTTACATTCAGTCTTAAATCTAGAGTAGGAGTCACATTGCTTCAATTCTGCGGGTATACTGTTAAACATTCTTAAGCCTACACTAAACAGAGTGTCACTCTGAAAATCACTAATGTAAAAATTATTTACCACACTGGATCGCGTTTGGTATGAATGAACATCTCGCACATAAGTAACTTCATCAGATAAATATGATGGTAACATATTATGTTTTAGTTTGAAAACAAAAGTTAGCATTATGTAAGTAGATCTTTGTTGTACATTCATAAGGTCTAATTTCTCCAGCATGGATTTTATTGGTGTTCTTTTGTTACAAAGTAATATTGCTCTCATGCAACGATTTTGCAGTTTTTGTAGCATGTCTCTTTGAGTCAAATTTAGATAATGATACAATGTACAGCAATATTCGAAATGAGGAGCAATTATTGACTTAAAAATTGTGAGTTTAGCGAAAAGTGAAACCTTGTTATTCAATCTGTAAAGAAAACCTGCTTTTTTTGCTATTTTCTTTTTTATGTAGTCACAGTGCAAGGATAGATTAAGTTCGGGATCCAGCATTACAGCCAAATATTTGAAAGATTTAACCTATTCTAAGATATCGTTATTCATAATTATTTTTACTGCTGCATTAGTACTTTGTCTTTGAACTTGGTTAAGGCAATGTTTAGAACCAAGAATCATGAATTTCGTCTTTCTTTGCAACATTTAGTTTTAAGCCATTTTCTATGAGCCACACATAATATTTTCAAGATCTTTGTTTAACAGTTTTTCCATTAATGTTATTTCATCAATATCGCAGACAAGATAAAGCAAAGTGTCATCTGCAAATAATTTTATTTGACAATGTTTGACATGAAGAACTATATCATTGATGAACAACAGGAAAAGAATAGGTCCCAATACCGAACCCTGAGGAACCCCTTGATCTATGCCTATGCTATTGGAAATGGCATTTTTAAATTTAACCTTCTGAAATCTCTCACTTAAGTATCCTTTGAAGCATTTTAGTACTATACCTCGAATACCATACTTTGCCAGTTTTAGTCACAAAAGATCAATGTTTACTGTCTCAAAAGCTCTACTGAGATCCAAAAATACTACACCAATGACTTTTTTCTTCTGTATTTGAGATTTCCAACCTGATATCAAAAACTGCAAAGCCGTTTCGCATGAATGTTTTTGTCTGTATCCTGATTGTTGCTCTACCAAAATATTATTTCTATCCAAATAATGAAGCAGCTGATCCTTCACCAGCAATTCCAAAACCTTTTCATAAACTGGCAATGTGTTTATGGGCCTATGCTCTGAACAAAGTATTGATTTTGGGACGTTTTCGATTGGGACCACAGTGGAACATTTCCAGGCATCAGGAAAAACTCCTTGTGATAGAGATGTAAGTATTTATCAAATCTAGGAATTATTAGTTATTTATTATACAAGACGGTAAAAAGGTGCTTCACCTGTGAGTGGAAAATGTTGATTCACGAGCGACGAAGGAGCGAGTGGATTAATTCCACGAACAGGTAAAGCTTTTTTACCATCGTGTGTAATATTCTATTTTCTTCTTGAGCAACTTTTTATTTATCACAATTACTGAAATCATAAACTTAAATGTGCTAAAATTTTACGTATATAAAGTTAGCAGTGCAAAGTCAGCAGTGCAAAATTTTTATGACTGGAAAAATTAGTGCTAATTAAGTGCTAATTAAATGCCAAGTTCACAAATTTTGTGCTCTTGTAGTTTCCGAGATATCGCCTGCACTGCTAGCTACCCGTGAAAGATAGCAGTGCATCATCCAGGAATAATCCAGGAAAGTGGTAGCGTGATATAAATTATGAAAAAAAAATTAAATGCCATTTGGCTACCATTTCCATTAACAAAATCTCTATTTTCAGATTTTTTTCGCACATTTTTTTAAAACAACGCGGTGCACTGCTAGCTTTATGCAGTACATATATTGAGTTTTCATGAAAGAAAGGGTTGGTGGAGCTTTCCACTTTAGAATAATTTAGTGCTAATTAAGTGCTTATTAAATTCCAAGTTACCAAATTTTGTGCTCTTATAGCTTCCGAGATATGGCCTGCACTGCTAGCTACCCGTTAAAGATAGCAGTGCACCATCCAGGAATGATCAAGAAAAGTGGTAGGGTGATATAAATTATGAAGAAAATTAGATGCTAATTAAATGCTACCATTTCCATGAACAAAATCTCTATTTTCAGCTTTTTTTCGAACATTTTTTAAAAACAACGCTGTGAAATGCTAGATTTATGCAGTACACATATTGAGTTTTCATGAAAGAAGGGATTGGTAGAGTTTTCGACATAGGAATAATTTAGTGCTAATTAAATGCTAAGTTCACAAATTTTGTGCTCTTGTAGTTTCCGAGATATGGCCTACACTGCTAGCTACCCGTTTAAGATAGCAGCGCACCATCCAGGAATGATCCAGGAAAGTGGTAGGGTGATATACATTTATATCAGTTAAAGATAGCAGTGCACCACGTTGTTTTTAGAAAAATATGCGAAAAAATCTGAAAATAGAAATTTTTTTCATAGAAATGGTAGCATTTAATTCTCTTCATCATTATGAAGGAGTATAGGAGAAATAGGAGAAATAGGAGTAATTCCTTCAGAAAGATTATTCTGATTTGTGATTTTGAAACTACCAATACCTAATAAGGTAACTTACTCTGGATTGTTAAAGGCCGGATGATCAATCATGTTCGTAACCAGTTGCCTGGTGCTTTCTGCCAGGCCTGGTATTGGGTATTGGAGGAATGGTGATACTTTGTATTTTTTATTTTACTTTTTAAAGTTTATTTTGATATTTGAAATAAATTAATAAATTACCACAATTTATTTCAGTACTAGTACCTAGTACTGCATGTAAAGGCGGTGTAAATGAAAACTAGAGGTGGGTTGCGATTTCACGAACTGTGACTTTGTCACTGCTACTCGTCTGTCACAGTCACGGCCTGCTCCAGTCCCAGTCAAGTAGCAGTGACATTTTGTCACTGCCTGCTTCAAGCTCCGACCGATGCGGCGCGGACAAAACTCGAGCTAAGTGATGCAAACGAAATAATATAATATTATAAATCGCATCGCAGTCACGCCAAATAGAAAATGCTACTGCGGAGGACAGGCTGGAAACTGGAACATCTCTTTGGGCCGTGACTGGTAACTGTGATTATGCTATGTTGCGATGTAGCATTACCATAATATTAGCGGTACTGCCGCCAACCACGGTAAAACTGCTCCAAAAAATCACTGCTATTTGTCACAGTGACACGACTGGAGCAGTCACGTCTTGTCACAGCTCCATTGAAATCGCAGATTGGCCCACCTCTAATGAAAACCTCCAATGAAAACAACATCAACAACGAAGGACAAAATTCAAATTAAAAATGAAGTAACCGTTGATTGAGTGTCAACTGTCAGCGGCATACGAGCGCGTTCATAAAATCTTTTAAGCATAACTCCATCAGGCTAAACCAATGAACTAGAGCTAAAAACTGGAATGCGCACACAGTGCCATATCTGCCAAAAAAATGAAGCCATGAAAGACAGATGCCACAACGGGGAATGTTGTCTTTTTCTGTTGCTCGCTGACATATGACGTTTTCGAAAGTTTTGTCATATTTTCCTTCACAGGTTTCATCAATTGGAATACGTGTTGGAAGCAATTTTCGCCATTTAACATAATGAGTGCGACAAAAACAGGTATCCCCTCCGCAGCAGCCGCACTAGGCTTCACGTTCGTCCTTATGTGTTAGCATTCCAGTTTTTGGTTATAGTTCATTGGGCTAAACATAGCAACTGGACACGCTTACTCCGGAGTTAAAACCAAACCGGAGGTGTCTCGCTATTGAGAAACCGGCCCTCAAACAACCTTGCATCAAAATAACCGTCTTCTATGTCAAATTGTTTAGTTGGGGTCACTCATTTGAGAGTTGCGGTTTGGAAGGTTGTGTTCCAAGCCCATTGGCAAATGGAACACAATTTTCACGCGTGTGTGCACACAAATGTTCGATTGTGTCCATGGAACGGCCAGCTGAAAAGCGGCTCAGAGGTGATAGCCGAAAGAATTTACGAACACTCACCCACGACGTCATTAATTTTACCTTGGCAGTTTCTGAACTAGTTCCGGTCACCCCAAATACAACTCTTACTCCAGGGCATTCGTTTAGGAGCGTGATCCCAGCCTAGCCGATCAAGTTAATCGAACAAAGTGCTACTGAATGTTCGGATGGGACTAGCGCCATTTTCTCGCGTTGACTTTTTTGACATTGGTTCAAAACCGGTTTGAAACAGTCAATGGAAACACCATTGCCCGTTTAAAGCCTAGTACTCATAACTGCGAAATTCGCTAGTCTTTCACATTGCTTCGACAATTTGACGTTTGATTCACTCATAAAACGTCAAATTGTCGAAGCAATGTCAAAGAAGATCGAATTTCGCAGTTATGAGTACTAGGCTTAATCCTGTTTTGAACCAATGTCAAAAAAGTGTAAACACGAGAAAACGGCTTTGGTCTCTTTTATTTTCTCATAAATTCGAGCTTTCCGCATTTGAAATGAATTCGCAAACAAGGAGTTGATACGTTTGCTTGATTTTACTGGTTCTACCAGCTTTCAGAGCGAACCATTATTTATATCTGTAGCGTGTTCGATTACTCTTACTCGAACCGACCCGAGCAAGCAGAGCAAGAACGTCGTTCAGGTGGTTTGTAGTTTGTCTAGGAAATGAATTGCGGTCTTTGAAATTGTTTTGTGTCTCGAGCTTGGATTTCAGCATTTAGCAAATCAGCAGTTTATTCTGGGATCGCACAGAACTGCTTGCGGACAAAAAATAATGGAGGATTGTTCTAATACTAGAACCGTTTCGGAACCAAAAAAACCAAAACAAGCCGCAAATCAGAAAATTCCAAAACAGTTGATCCTTCAGAGTAAGAACTGAGAGAACCGTTCTAGAACAATCACAGAATTGTTAAATAGGCTGAGTTCGGTTTTACACTAGGTAAACTCCGAGCGCGCTTGAAACGATAAGATCCTGTTCGTTTTAGCGCTCAGCATGTTCTTTTTTGCGTTCGGGTTACAATCGAGCACGTACCCTGGGCTATAGCTCTCTTTTTCCTTGGATGGATGAATGGAGAACCAGAGAAATTATTTAACAACTGTCATTTTTGAAAAATTATAACCTAAAATATTGTCAAAAAAAATTAATTCGGTTCTACATTTATTCCAGGTCCATTACTAATTCACCTACTCGTTTACTACTAAAATAAAATTAAAATCCAAACAAAACTATTTTTTGTTAGATTAGTGATAAGGGTTTGAAGATTTTTTTTTTCGATCCGCGTTCGGCTTATGACCTTGTTCAGGGCGCGTATGACATCACGATATCCATGCTCATACCGTTCCGCTCCGTGGAGAACAAAGCCAAACTCAGCCATGTAGTTCTAAATAATCCAAAACGCTGCCAACACAGTTCGATTACGATTCTAAAGAAACGGAAACGCATTTTATAAAATGCGCAGTTGCAGAATGATTCCGAACTAGTTCTGAGTGAAATCAAAACAAAGCTATAGTTTTTCAAAAAGACTTTGGTGGTGGTAGGTGATATTTCTTGTTTAGTAGGTTGTCTTTGTGATACCCAATAAATAAAACACAGATGAAAGGCGCTAATACTACTTCGCTAGTGCCATTAGTTTGTGATGACCCTCGTAAATCGAGAGTTGTTCTCATTCGTATCCGCTGGACCTGTTCAGAGCAGATCAAGACTAATTTTTCCAAATTAGGAAAGCAGAGTTGTGTTCATTAGTTGTATTCCTTTCAAGAGTTTAGAATACTAAATCTACTCGCTCCGGTGTTATTCGACCCCGATTTGAAAGGAACAGATGCGCTGGCTTTCGTGCCTTTCAAATGGTGCTTGAACAGTCGGGTGCAACAAACACTTTTCGAAAGGAATAAGCGTGTAACGCCCTGGAGCTGTTCCGGAGCTCCTCAGATGTGGAAGGAATACAACTATTGTCATGATGCCGGTTTTCCATCAAACGGACAAATCAAAAACAAAACCCAAACTTAAACTTTTCCCAAGCATTTTCAAAACTAGCGTGTTTTGCGACAGTTGGAGTTTTGTTTCTGGTATCCCGCTCGGAAGCAAGGACCGAGAAAACAAAACGTAGTCCGCTTGATTGAAACAATAGTTTTGTGAATATTTTTGTTTCAAAACATAGACAAAACACAAACTCAACAGTCCGTTTAGTGGAAGACCGGCATATATACTTTTCACAAATTACTGTATTCCTTTAGACATCAAGTTACACCGAACGTGTCGCTCTAGAGTTCTTCGGAGTCACTCCAAATTGCACAATTCATTATCATTATTCTTTAATATTAACTTTACCTAGAAGGGCTTCTGGCGCTCTACCCGCAAATTTGGTGCATCAGGGGAAAGGGGGATGCACTATGAACGACTCGAGTGCTTAACGCACTTTCAAAAGGAACGTTCAAGCTTTTGACATTGAGCAGCTCCGAGTAACTCAACGGGTAAAAGGTTTGTAGTCCTTTCGTTCGGTATTTTGTTCAAAGAGCAGAGGGTGCTGAGCGGAGCCGTGGTCACGTGACCAGCGAACAAACAGCAGCAGTTGAAGGCTGCATCAAAGTGCCAGAAATTTTAATAGTACCGAGTAAACTTTTTAAATAAACGAACGGTAAATTCAAGCTCGAAGAACTCAGATCAAAATACCGAACGGACGGAGTATATTTGGAGCAGATCCAGCAGAAACAAAGGGCGAGTTCTTTTATTCAGCAATGGATCCATCTGCTGCCAGCATTATAAGACAGACATTCCTATTTTCTATGAGCTAGACAAAGAAAGGCTGATTACTGATGGATCCACCGCTGAATAAAAGAAAGCGCCCTAATAAAACAAAATGACAAGTGACAAGTGACGTACCAATATGGCGATAGCGGAAATCCAATAATCAGCTGATGGCCCCTCCGAGTCCCCGTTTCCGTTTTATATGGATATACATCACAAGCCCTCTAAAGGCAGCTCAAGCTTTTCTCTTGCAGTTGCCATTGTTGATGTGGCTGCTGGCTGCACGCTGCACTGGTTGCTAGGGAAGCTAGAAAGATTACCCTAATAACGTGCTTCGACCAAAAAACAAATATAAGTAAGAGGGCTTTTGCAGGGCTAGATACAGGAATACGTCTGAAATGGCACAGACAAAGTATGAAAAAAAAATGGTGGAAATGGATGATGTTGATGATGATGAAGGTGAAATAATGGATACATCTATGGGATTGGATGCAATGATTGAGGTAAGCATAATTCACATTAATTTTGTGCTATGTTTCAGGGTAGTAGTTGCTAATTATTTACTTTAATAGCCCCTTCACCTAATAATATAATGGATATTTTCTTATTTTGAAATAAATATGTAGACTCTAGCATGTATGTGCAGGGTGAGTCACTATATTTTGACACCCACCTGCAGCCATAATTTTACAGGCGTAAATTCAAAAGTTATAGCATTTATCTAAACCATCAGAATTTGTATTTAGCTTGAAGAAATGAGCAACGCAAAGTAAAAAAAATATGTCATTCTTCACTTTTTTAAAATGGAATGCACTTAATTTTCTTTCAAATTTTTAAAGTTCTGGTTTTTACCTGATTCAGATTATATATGTTAACATCTCTTTCAATAGTTTTGGAAATATCTGCAGTTTATTTATTAGTTTTTGGAATATATCTTACCTTGATTTACCTGTCACCTGTCACAAAACATTCTGATACCCTGAATAGGTCTTTAAATAACTAAACTCCAGATACTTCCAAAACTATGTATTGAAAGAAACATTAACATATTGTACAGGGTCTTTCACGAACATCGAAACAAAGGTGGGGTATTTTAAGGTCGATTTAAAAAACGCTCTGACACATCATTTTTGTATTCAAGGAAGACACTTTTTGACCCCATCGGTATTTTGCCAAGGTGCACCCCCTGGGTGGGGCGGCTTTCACCCCTTTTTTTTTAGATAGGGAAGATGGGGCGAGTGTTACCTTGCTTTAAAGGTATTTTGATTTTTGTCACAAATGCCTATTTTTTTTGAGAATCAAATAATCAGTTCTCAAGACACTGTCAAGCCAGAAAATTGTTTCTGTTGTTTCTGTAGGCCATAGCAACTTTGACAGTGTCTTGAGAACTGATTATTCGATTTTCAAAAAAAATACACAGTTGTGACGAGAATCAAAATACATACCTTTAAAACAAGGTACCACTCGACCCATCTTCCCTATGCAAAAAAGGGGGGGTGGAAGTCACCTTACCCAGGACATGTCCGGCCGTTTTTTTTAAATCAACCTTAAAATACCCCACTTAAAATGCCCCTGTTTCGATTCTGTATATAATCAGAAAAACGAGAAATTTCAGGAATTTGAAAGAAAATTAAATGCATTCCATTTAAAAAAGTGAGCATCGACATATTTTTTTACTTGGCATTGCTCATTTGTTCAATCTAATCAATAATTATTCTGGTGGTTAAGATAAAATGCTACAACTTTTGTATTTACACCTTTTAGCCTCTTACCTATCATCTGTAATTACAGCTGCAGGTGGGTGTCAAAATATAGTGACTCACCCTGTACGTGAAGAGCTTCTAAAAATTAATATATGGATTCTGGAATGCTGTCAGCTTCTGTGAAGCTAATGGCTTCTTGGCTGACTTCGGGTTCTTTTTTAAATGTTTTTGCAATTATTGTAAGGAAATGGAACTAAAATAAACGAAAAATCACAAAATCATAACAAAACAAATTATTTATTTCACAGTCATAATTTTAAAGTTTGGTTACTTTGTAAGAATCAACATTACCATTACCAACGTCCAATAGGCACGCAATAGATATGACGTATAACTTTCTTAATAAGCAAAATTTCAAATTGAAACTTTCAGGGTACAAAAAGGACCGATAGGGCTACTTAACGCCACCCTAATATTTGAGATACAATCTCTCCCAAGGGATTGAGTACATGTCTGAAAAAATTCCAAGGAAGATAAAGTGCATCCTAACAACAAATAAAAATCCTAGGCTCTGTTAGTACTCTATTATTGTGTATACCAGGTGCCCACATGATCACTTTCCGGCTGCCATTTTTTTATTCGTCTATCGATATCAACGAAACTTGGTAGGATTGATATTCTAATCAAACGCCATTTTTATGCATTATTGACAAGTTTTGTTGACTTCCGGTTTCACCGAAAATGACGGGAACTTAAATTTTTAAATGGCACACCCTGTAGATTTTCTGTTTTTCGGATCCTACAGATCGTTCCACGTCCTAATGCACCACTTTTGAATCGAGTTTTTTCCAAATTTTGTTTTTAAATTAAATTTAAATTTTTTAACTAGAGTGCCATGATCATCCTAAAATGACTCTACATACTTTAGAAAAATACAAAGTTAATTTTATCTTTGTAAACTTTTTTGATAGAGGGCTGTAAACTCCATTATTTTAGTATTTTTGCCCTAGCTCAAAAACTAGAATAGAAAGATATCACTTTCATTAAATCATTAAATGCAGTATTTTAAGGCGAATCCAACGATATAATACACCACAATATTTTTCATAATTTTCGTTTAAACATTTTTGATTTATTATGTAGGCTATTTTTTTTTTCTACTAAATTTAATTTGATAACTAAATTTGGACAAAACTCGATTTGAAAGTGGTTTACTAGGATGTAAAACGATCTGTAGAATCCAAAAAACAAAAAAAATACAGGGTGTGCCATTTGAAAATCAAAAGTTTCGGTAACTTTCGGTAAAACCGGAAGTCAGGAAAACTTGTCGTGGATGCAAAAAAATGGCGTTTTATCAGAATATCAAGTCTACCAAGTTTTGTTGATATTGATGAACAAATAAAAAAATGGCAGCAGGAAAGTAATCTCGTGGGCACCCGGTATGCTATATTTTTATTGTTTAGTAATTGATGTGGGGCATTATTATCAGTTGTAGACCTTTCTATTTTATAAAATTGCTGGAAGAAAAAGAAGTATTTTGTTTTTATAAAAACTATAAATGCACTCCACTAAATCCCTGAAGTCGGCACATTTACGGATGCAGATTAGCTACTAGCTTGGTTCTTATTTATTGAAAGAATGCAGATCCTTCATGTTTACTCTAGAAACGTTTTACTTTAGGAATTTCGCTCTGAAGCTATAACCTCTAAAAACATTCCTGAGATGCCAGACTTAGACGACGAAGCCCTAGAGGAAGAGGAAGTATTTGAAGAAGAAGAAGAAGAAGGTGAAATAATGGACGATACTTCTATGGATGCAGATAATACAAAAAGTTTTGGCTACTCATCAAAAATAGACAAAGTAAGCATATAAATCAAGTTGATATTGTAAACTTAACATTGTTTAGGGCAAGTTATTTCCTGTGACAGTGAGCTTCCTAGCTATTTTAACTTATACTGAGTCCTAAATAAAAGTGTAACTAACAAATTTCAATTATATTATATGTCTCAAGGCCTAGGCATGGCGAGGGAGAAAGGATGTGATATTCTGCAGTTTGATTAACCTCAGGATTAACCACCATAATAACACTGCAAATATATTTACAAACGGATGCAGAAGTGACAAAGCACAAAGCATGTATAATTGTCGACTCAGCACCAATAATAATTGTAATATGATCTTATCTTTATTTCCAATTTATATTCCGGTACACAGCACATAAAAACCTGAAATTAGATACTGCCAATAAAAGATAACATAGAACATCAATAGTCAACCATTCTATTGATTCAGTATTTAATTGGTGTGGATTTATTTTTAAATTAAGATTTTTTTGTGTTGGGTTTTGTGAGGTGTCACAGATTTTACTTTAATTTAGTTTTTGTAACCAAATTACATGTTAATGTTTCATAATATCCCTTTGTGTAATTTCAATTTTTTTTCTAGGTATCTTCGTCAGCCAAACCTATTTTCACTACTGGCATCAACATTTTCGACAAAAAAATACAAGAGAAGCTCCAAGAACGTGCCAAAAGGTTTGCATTGAAACCAGAAGAAATCAACAGCATAAACGATCAAGTTTTGCAAGATCTTTATGACAGTCTAGGGATAGATTCCAGAAACAAAAAAGAAGTTAAATTTGAAACTGTTCATATACATGGATATGATAATATGTTAGGGAAAGATGTTGTGGAATATTTTGCAAATTACGCTCCAGAAGGAATTGAATGGCTTGATGACAGAAGTTGCAATATTGTTTGGTTGGATAACGTATCTGCTGCAAGAGCTTTACATTTTTTATCAAGGGCGGTAGAGGGCATGCCTGCAAGAGCACCTATAGAAACGTTTCCCAAAGAATTCTTGAATAATGTCGAAGATGATGAGCTTGATGATGAAGAACCATATGGACAGAGCATCCAGAATGGTCTCAACAACAGTGTAATTGCAAATGAAATAGCCAAACTAATTAAGACTAAAAAAAAATCATATTTAGCAAATGCAGTTGATATTGCCGAAATATCCATTACAATACCACCTGGTTATTGGAGATTAGGTATACCCCACCCAAAAAGTAGAGGTCTATTAATGCGATTTGGAAACATAACTGATAAATATCCATTAAAATCAGAAAAGTGTGATAAATATTATAAGTTATTAAGTAATCCGTCATCACAAAAGCGCTATTTATCAGACACTGATAAAAAAGGAGTTAAAAGAACTACAAGTATATTTGACAATAATGAGGAATTAACTCAAAGCTTAGCTCAAAGCAAAAATCCATGGGGCTCATTGGCGAAGAATTGGGATAAAGATTCAAAATTTAGAGAAAGAGATCCAATAATGTATGAGAATAAAGTTATAGTACCTGAGCTTAAAAATCCCAGTTTACAAGCTCGTTTGGGTACTAGAAAAAAATCTTATGATGGAGAACTTGAAATTCAAGGAGAACCTAACGAAAAGAAAAATAGTGGGAAGAAATCGAAAGTCCCAAGAATGACAATGTATGCCGATGAAGAGGAATATAAAAAAAAGGAAAAGCAGATTTTAACTGCAATCAGAAAACATGAAGTTGGACTAAAAAAAAATAATGACGATTTGAGAAATATGTTGAGCACTTCAAAGGGATTATCACTTAGAAAAGATAAACTAGAACATGACCCCAATGCTGATTTGGGTTTAACACTTAAAAACAGAATTAAAAAAATGTGTTTTGCTGTTGATAATGAACCAACAGAGGATTATGATTATGATCCATCATATACTTACATTGAAGGATCACATTCTTATGCTAATATCGCAGTACCTAGAAGAAGGTCTTTCGAGAATAGTTTCACTGAGAGTGAGAATGAAAGCTCACCAATGAAATATAGATCACCTTTATTAAGATCAAGTACAGAGAGAGATATTCCAAGACGCCGTAGAAGGCACATTCCTAGCAGGAGCAGGTCTCCAGAACGTCGTTTGTATAGTGATAGATTAGAGCCAAGAAAATCTACTCGTCCTACTCCATACAGACATGCTCGTTCTCCTAAATCAGCTCATTCCAGGTACAAAAGCTACCCACACAAAGGTAGTGACAGAACTAGAATAAAATATAAAACAGAATCTAGAGGATCCAGAGTAGCCTCTACAATTTGGACAAAACCAGTAGAGCCATCTGAAATTGTTCAAAATTATGAAGAATCAGACAAATCTTCTGCAAGCAGCAGTGATAATAGTGATTCATTATCTGATAGCTCAGAGAGCCATTCTTCAACATATAGGGGGATATCTGCAAGAAATCCTAGCAGACCTGGATTTCATAGGAGAAGGTTCAAGAGAGAGAGAACATGGAAAAAATAGATGATTGCTGCAAATTCCATGGATCTTCAACCAGGATTCAAGATCCATAATTTTTTTTTTCATGTTTTTGTTTTAGAGTGAAAATCAAATAAGAAGAGTACCTACAGTAATGTTATTTTTATCTGCACAATCGGATTATACATTTTTCTCTAATTTTTAAATGCTTGGTGTCTTTAAAAGCCATAGTTAGCGTGCCATTCATGTACATCATCTTGGACAGTCAATGGCCTCTTGTTTGTTCCTGAACATTTAGGTACTCTTTATAGATTTATTTTTTTTTTAATTTACATATTTTGACTATCTATTTAGTGTGTAATTTGATATCTCCTTAATAGTGGTTGTCAGATAAAACGAAATACAATCACTGGCATAGCCAGGGGGGCAGAGGGGCATTTGCCCCCCCCCACAATCCTAAAAATACTGTAAAAAGACCGCTCTGGCAGCGCTCGCGGTGGACCAACAAGAAACACCACTGCAAATTTGCCCCCCCTACGCCAGTGAATACAATAGTTTGTTTTTTTTCATTATAGAAACCTCATTGTAATTATATTTGTTTTAATTGAGCTATGCTAATTTTTTTTATAAATCTATTGGAAAATAGAGATAGATATATATTGTACCTATACAATAATAATATAGTTTTTTGTGAATAAATATATTTATATATATAACAAACTTCAATAGATTATTTCTTCATGGCCTTGTTTAAAAATATTTTTTCTAGTTATGTCAGATTTCTGGAACTTATAGCTGATGCAAGAAAATAAAGGTATTGTTCTCCTCATGCATGGAGGCAGTTATCTGAAAATAATTTCAAAGTGTGTAGGTATATCTACTTTGGGCTATCATGACAGCAACTATATCACTGAAAACGAGGCCAATGAAAGAGAATGAAGCCGCGTTTTCACGTCGATAAAGTTGAAAGTGACGCGTAATAAAAAATGTTAATCAATAGCAAAGATGATACGGGTAGAAAATGGATCGTAGAGAGAAGAAATACACTAGGTGTTTCTGAGAGACTTTTATTCGAATTAATTCCCGATATTTTTAATATAACGTGCTGCTCGAAAAAAAACAACCTCTTTACCACGAAGAAAGTAGTGTCCCAACTATAAAGTCAACTAGCGACAGAGATAGCTACTCGGCATATTAACATGGTAATAGTTCATGTGATAGTTGCTATCATGAGAGCAACTATCACCGTGAAAACGGATTATGAGGCTTAAATGAAGTTTTGAAGCTCAATTTGATGAGAACTAAGAAGCGTTCAGAGTTGTCGTTCATTTATTATTTCTGACGAGGAGGGAAAGATAAATCTGATTTCATGCGGTCCTCTTCTCCATAAACAAACGATAGTTCGTAAAGCAGTGTTGCCAGTATTTGTATTCTGCTTGTCGCCAAATTGTCCGCCAGAGATCGCCCAAATCGCCAACATGAAGCCTAGTACTCATAACTGCGAAATTCGCACTTTTATGACATTAGAAAGTACTCGTGCGTCAGACGCTACGCTAATACGGTACCGCTAACAATACGGTATTTCACATGGTATTTTATAGTTCTCGAGCACGAAGACACATAAATCCTCTAATCCCTTATTCTGTTTGAGCTTGAATAATTTTTCCTTGGTGTTTGTTATGGAGGAATTATTAGAAGTTGCTGTTTTTGCAGACATAAATGGAGCGTAAACTAGTTTTGACATAGCATACGGTGGGGCATCCGGTAAGTTCCGTTAGATAGCGGGCTCCGCTAACGCTAATACCGTAAGAACTGTCATACTCAATGAACTATATAGCTAAAAACCTTTGAATATAAAACTACAGGAAGGAGCGTTTTCTATCTGTCACTACCAATGAACTATAGCTAAAAACTGGAATGCGCACACATTAGTTGTATTCCTTTCACACCTAGGAGGAGCTCCGGAACAGCTCCGGGGCTTCACGCGACTATTCCTTTCGAAAAGTGTTTGTTGCACCACGCATATGTTCCCTGCAAATCGGGGGCGACTAAGCACCGAAGCGAGTAGCTCGAGTATTTCAAGCTCTTGAAAAGAATACAACTATTGCCATATCTGCCAAAAAAATGAAGCCATGAAAGACAGGTCGGGGATTCTAAAATCACGATTCGACATACGATTCGACAACGAGACGATTTTTCCGACGATTCTAGGTTAGAAATCTCATTGGAATTATACCTTTCGACACGACAAGGCCGGTATCGTTGTCGAGTCGTGTGTCGAATCGTGATTTTAGAATCTCGGCCCAGATGCCACAAGGGGGAATGTTTTTTTTTTCTGTTGCTCGCTGGCATATGACGTTTTCGAAAGTTTTGTCATATTTCCCTTCACAGGTTTCATCAATTGGAATACGTGTTGGAAGCAATTTTCGCCATTTAACATAATGAGTGCGACAAAAACAGGTATCCCCTTCGCAGCAGCCGCACTAGGCTTCAAGTTCGTCCTTATGTGTTAGCATTCCAGTTTTTAGTTATAGTTCATTGGTCACTACAGACAACGCAGGGACGGAAACGGCCATATTGAGCCTCCAAGTATGGACTCATCATTTGTTTTGGTGGTTCGCTGTGTTCTCATTCAAGTGGATGTTAAATGGAATTTAGCGGTTTTAAGTGATAATAAGCACTGGGATTAGTGCGAAAAGAATGACTCATAATATTGACAATCATATTTAAATAAATATACGCCCCTGCCAAACCGGAAATACTAGTCGGCCATATGCAACCTCCACATATTTTGGTCGCGTAGATTTGAAGATATGCGCCTTCCTGTAGTTTTATATTCAAAGCTAAAAACTGGAATGCGCACACATTGCCATATCTGCCAAAAAAATGAAGCCATGAAAGACAGATGCCACAAGGGGGAATGTTGTTTTTTTCTGTTGCTCGCTGACATATGACGTTTTCGAAAGTTTTGTCATATTTCCCTTCACAGGTTTCATCAATTGGAATACGTGTTGGAAGCAATTTTCGCCATTTAACATAATGAGTGCGACAAAAACAGGTATCCCCTCCGCAGCAGCCGCACTAGGCTTCAAGTTCGTCCTTATGTGTTAGCATTCCAGTTTTTGGTTATAGTTCATTGGTCATACTTGTCAAATAGCGTTACGGTATTTGAAATTTGGACGGCACGAGAACTCTCTATTGCTTCGACAATTTGACGTTTGATTCACGCATAAAACGTCAATTTGTCGAAGCAATGTCAAAAAAGTGCGAATTTCGTAGTTATGAGTACTAGGCTTAATAGCGGGATATTCAAAAATTTCAAGTAATAAACATTTAAAATGTTTGTTTCCCAACACAATAAAAACTTATTACATAATTTGTTTATTATTAAAAAAAATATATATGTTCCAAATTATACGAAATAAAAAAATTAATCACATTGATCGAGTTAGGATCTTGAAACTTACGTTGGGTATTTTGATCTGAGTTTCCCGAGCTTGGATTTACCGTTCCGTTATTTATAAAGTGTGCTCGGTGCAGGTTCATTCGCGTTCGTTTATTGAAATTTCGAGCACGCTGCCAAGGATTATACACACTACTACTACAGAATAGCCTATCCTCATAAGGCCTGTGTGGAACAAATCTGAAGCCTCCCACCACGCCAAATCACCGGTTGTGACGTAGACACTAGGCAGCATTATCGTTTCTCGCCTTCACGTAGGCTGTTCGAACCACAGGTTACGATTCCGCGGCCTTTTGCTTTATGCATACTTGCTTAAATACATTAATTAAAATTCTAAAACAACTCCTTTTTTAGATCTCGATTTCATCTTTCTCTTTGCCTATTATTTTAATCAAGATTGAAAAATAATTTTCTTCATTAATTTATTTAAATTCCAAACTACAACCGCTAGTGCAAAGAGCTGATGACTTATTTAATGACGTCGGAAATGGTGACACATCAAAATAGCGGCGATAACCAAAAACGATGCCGATAAGGAATCCGTAATGTCTATTATCCTTGCACTTCTCTGTGCGCTCGCTATTCCTAGTCACGTGATTACGACTCTACTTCAACAGGCTCTGCTCTTTGAGCAAAATACCGAATTGTCGAACGCATGGGAGAACTACAGTGATGAGTGAGCTAGAACGATTGAAAACACATAGACTTTTTTTCTAAGAGATCGCCCAAATCGCCAAAATTACTTCTCTTCAGCGCCCAAATAATCGCCCACCGCCAATCAAGAATTTAGAGCGCCATTTCAGTGATTTACATCGCCCAATTGGCGCTAAGTCGCCCATACTGGCAACACTGTTGTAAAGCGAAGTGAATTCAAGCACAGGATAATTGAGCATACTACATTTTTCAACAAACTAATAGCGGAAGTGTGAACAACATACAACACGATTTTACATTTGTCAGTCACTCGGAGCAACTCTGAGTAACTCGCATTTTTCATGCGGCCTGTTCTTTCTAGCAGGTGCCTGTATTTGTCTCTCGGAGCTTCCACTTTAATAATAATAATCGACTTTTATTCCTGTGTGTCTGCCTCTGGTTGGGGCTTGATCGCGTCCTTCTTGGCTTGGGAGTTATTCCGAACGAGTTAATGACTCGAGACTGGCGGGGCTACGCGTGTATACTCCGTGCGTTCGGTATTTTCATCTGAGTTCTCCGAGCCTGGATTTACATTCGTTTATTTAAAAAGTGTACTCGGTGCAGGCTCATTCCCGTTCGTTTATTAAAATTTCGGGCGGTATGATACAGCGTTTAACTGCTCTGTGCGCTCGCTGGTCACGTGATTACGGCTCCGCTCAGCACGCTCTGCTCTCTGAGCAAAATACCGAACGCAAGGAGTGTGTTCGAACGCACTGCTCGAAATGACGGATGAGTCGGATGACCAAACGAACCGTGCGTTCGTTATTTTGGTCCGAGTTCTCCGAGCTTGACTTTACCGTTCTTTATTTAAAAAGTGTACTCGGTGCAGCCTCATTCGCGTTCGTTTATTAAAATTTCTGGCACTTTTAAACAGCGTTCAACTGCTCTGTGCGCTCACTGGTCACGTGATTACGGCTCCGCTCAGCACGCTCTGCTTTTTGAGCAAAATACCGAACGCAAGGTTAGACGACGTGACGATTTTTCATCTCCCTTCCAGGCCACCAAAAACTATGGAAGTATGAAGTATGTAAACAAGCAAAAGTAAACAAAACAAATATTTTCTGAAGATTATAGAAAATAGAATTGTTGATTTTTAGAAAAAGATCAATAATTTATGTTCTACCAAGTTACTCCGATGAATGATCAATTCAATTATTCGCATCAAATCAAGCGTTTCCAGAAAAATTATTATTCAAGTAACATAATAAGTAATTAATAATTTTTCAAAATACACATTCAACTATGTCTAGTCATATTGGGAACGTTCTAAAGCAAGCCCTTGCCACATTTGCAAACAAAGGAACACAGAAGCATGAAGCATTTCAAAAAAATTTAGAAGTCTTGATTTCTTTATTGGATAAAACTACAGCGGAGCATGTGAATTTTCCAATGAGGTACATGAATCCGCAATTATGGGAACGTCCAGAAAAAGCCCCTGTGAGCTGCATTGAAATTTTTGAAGATACTCATGTAACGATGGGAATTTTTATTTTAAAACCTAATGGTAAATTACCACTACACAATCACCCAAAAATGCATGGACTGATCAAAGTATTAGCTGGTAAAGTAGAAATTATCAGTTATTCCATTAACACAGAAAAAACTAAAGAAATAGACCAGAAAAGTTTAATTGATGAAATGCCATTGAATCCTAAACCAAGGAAACATAATATTGTAACTGCCGAACTGAATGAAGTAACAATAGCAACCTCAGATAGCCTCCCTTGCCTTCTAGACCCGAATTTTAAAAATATACATGAAATCCACAGCTTAGACGGTCCAGCCGCATTTTTAGACGTTTTAGCACCACCCTATGACTTTCCAATATCTGAATTTGAAATTAGAAAGTGTTCGTACTATCATAAGCTGAGTCAAGTAACTACAAACATCTTCCGCTTACAAGAAGTAAAATCCCCTAGTTGGTACTGGACTGATTCTTGCCCTTACACTGGACCGGAGTTGTTTGATATTGAGCTACACTAATATTTTTTTATTATTTTGATAATTGACCTGTATTGTTCCTGTTAAACTAATTTTTGCCTTTGACTAGTAGATACCTTAATTATTGAGAATTCACTTAATGCATAAGGGTGGGTGTTATAAAAATATTTTGACAGGATAACTAAAAGTTAAGTTCTGGTTTGACGTTACTTCTCTAGTAATTCTAGAAGTTAACTTATAGTTACCTATCTGTCAAAATAGTTTTATAGTGCCCGTCCTTAGTAATGTCAGCTTTCTACAAGGTATGTACGTATCCTTTTATCATTATCAGAATTTATACTACTTGTTAATGAGTAAATGCCTATGTTGCCTTTTATCATCTGATATATTTTTCTGGATATCTTGTTAATTTTTCACAAAGGCCTAGAGTGTCACATTTGATAAAAAAAAACCACTTTGATTTTAGCTGAAATTTTGAGAAAAAAGTTGAAATTTCATGAGATTCCATTAATATGATTTTCTTATTTTCATTGAAAATGCTGATAAATTTACTGGAAGAAAAAAGACTCTTTTATCTATTGAAAGCTTTCGCAATATGTTTTATTGCTTTGTCAGTCATAAGATTATGAGTACTTATTTTAATATAGATTTCATTAAGATTGTATAACAGTCTAGAAAAAATGTAGACAGATTTAAAAAAAAAATTGAATATAAAGTTTAATCAAGCCAGTCTGATTCCATATGGCAGATCCTTAAGTTCACTAGGAATTTTAGTAATTCGCCATTGAACTCGCTAGAGTTGTTCAATGTCCTTCGCATAGTAAGTAAAATTGGGCATACTCAAGTTTTGGTTGAATGTAGGACTTATACAATTTCAAAATCATCTCTTTAGGGTGGTCTTTGAATGCTGTTTGGATGAGATATGTCATTGAATTGGCTTTTTCTGTTACATCAGTAATGTGAGTCTCCCATTTTAGGCCTGCTGTCACTGTGATTCCAAGGTCTTTCTGCTTTGCAAAAGTTGCTATTGATGTTTGTTGTAGAAAATAGCTATGTGTAGTACAGTACATTTGGAATCATTAATAGACTGTGAGATAGGGGCTGTTTAGTGGAGTCATTTTTTTTTTGTCTGGCATTTTGAGGGCTGAATGTGGCTACTAAGCTGATGAGAATATGGGTGATTTTAATGCTGGCCTCCTGTTCGAAAATTTGCAGAATAAAAAAATTGATTTACATGAAGATTTTTTTTTTAATGATCTCAAATTTTCTAGCTTTTAAATAAAATATTGACATTGATAAATAATTCACCCATGAAAAATATCAGATGCTTTTCAATAACTGAAAAAATGGGGATGGGTGTCAACTTCCAAGAGAAAAGAAAAGAACCTTCCGCTTTTTCTTTTTGTCTGGCAAACGAGAGAATGGAAGGTTTTGTTGTGAGAATAACGCTGAAAAATCGCCAGACGGTAATCACAGTTCGAAATCGAGTTTTCCGACGAAACATTCTGTCGAGCATTCTGTGGACATTTCGAACAGGAGGCAGGCATTGAAACCACTTATATTCTCATCAGCTAACTAGTCACATTCATCCCTCAAAATGCCAGACAAAAAAAAATGACTCCACTAAACAGGCCCTATCTCAGGGTCTATAAGTGGCATTTTCCACTTTGTTGTCCATTCTTTTTTTCTGACCAGATCTTGCTGTAGATCATTATGTGGTAATAGAGGGTTACAATATAAGTTACTAACATCGGCAAAAGATGCATTTTTTGTTGTAACTCCCTGGTACAGATTGCTCAAGTACGTTAAAAATTAAAGGGGACTGAGAACTGAGCCTTGAGCAACTCCGCTGTGTACCTGGTGCTCTTCTGACAGGCTAGTACCAATTCGTACCTGGAAAGTATGACCAGACACCGATTAGCCTTAGAAAATCACCCCTGACTCCAAAATGCTGAATTTTGTATTCAATGTATTCGATTGGTATTTTGTCAAACGCCTTTTCGAAGTCAAGGTAGACCACTTCTATTGGTTCCCCGTTGTCATCAGCTAGTGTCCAGTCGTCGAGCCTGGTTAGAAGGTTAGTGAATGTGGATTTCTTTGGAAGAAAGCCATGCTGCTGTGAAGGAATGATCTTAGTTTCCAAAAAGAAAGATGTAAGTTCTTTTGCTATGATTTTTTCCATTCACTCACACAGGATGCTGGTTAAACTAATTGGCTTGTAGTTTTCTGCTAATTGTTTATTTCCTTTTTTAAATATTGGTGTGACAATGGCTTTCTTCCAGGATTCTGGAAATTACCCATTTGTCAATAAGATGTTTAACACATTCGCTAGGGGTGCTTTTTAGAACTTGCACACAGTTTTCCAGAAAAATGGAAGGAATTTCATCCATTCCAGGACTTGAGTTGGATTTTAATGATGTTATGGCAGCTTCTACTTTTTCTGGTTTAAATTCAATGTGATTTATCTCAGTTATTGTATAAGTATTTAGTGGTAGTGTGGGCCTAAGGTTGTTTGCATCCTGAATAGTAAAAACACTCTCAAACTGTTGTGAGAAACACTCTGCAATTTTCTGGTCAGTTTTAAGCCGTCATGCGGTATCCTTATCTATTAGATTAAAGCTGGCATGTTTTGAGTTTAGCCAACGGCTTATGTATGAATCGAATTGTTTAGTGTTCACTAATAGATTGTGTTCATAGTTTCCCCTGGCTGATACTGCACAAGTCTTTGTTTTGTTGTTTTGATGTTGATAGATTTGATAATTATCTTCAGATTTTGTGTGTTTTGATATTTATGCCAGTTTTTGTTGAATCTCTTTGAAAACTTCCTTTGTGAGCCATGGTTTTTGCGGATTACTGCAGTTACTGCCATGTTTCGAGACTGTACGTTGTTACTGGTAGAACACATGTTTCGTAGACTTTTCGTTTGAGGTGTTGGGGAATATCAGGGTTTTTAAGGATGAATCCGAGCTTACTGAACTTCGACTTTAAAGTCAAATTGTTTTCTTTTTTTATATGTGGCACTTTTATGCATTTGCAAACTTTAAATTAAAAGAGTGAAAGGAAAATAATTTGCCATGAACAGAATTCTGAAGGGATGCCATTTATTTTGAAGCCCTTCCCAAAATTTTTCAAAAGCTGGCTTTTTATTTGTGTTAGAATTTAGTGGCATGCAGACGTTTTTAAATTAAAATTGATGGAAAATTTTCTTGCCTCGACTAGGATTTGAACTCAGGACCCCTGCATATCCAGTTGCTTTTTATTTGCCAATTTACAGGATCCTATCTCTACTGACCTACCTATCTGAATTATTGGAATGTGTGTGAATATTGTAAATGAATGCAGACAGACTAATAAGAGACAGTTATTACTGAATTGTAATTTATTTCTTAGTTATAATAGTTATAAATTTGTTATCCTGAATGTTGTAGTTGCTCAATAAATGTTGGAAAAAACCTTATTATTTTATTTTAAAAAATTGGAAGATTTCTACAAGATTACTAGGATATATACCGGGTGGGATTTCACTGAAGTTTTTTTGTACATAATATAATGTGCAACATATTGCTGACTGTTTCTAGGTATTGTGAACCATTGCGATTATTGTGGAGTATTGCCAGTTATTGCAGCAAAAAGTATTGAAGCATATTGTGAGGATATTCAGGGTTGCCAGATGGTTACAACTAATTTCCCCCAAAGGATTTCAAAAATACCCCAAAAATCACTGTTTGTCAACTAAAATCCCCCAAATAAATAAATATAGATTTATTCTCGACTCATACTTGCAAAAAAAAAGACAAATTCGTTAAATATTTTAAAATAAAACTCATACCCTTACCACTTTTTTATTTGTTTATATTTTTCTAATCCCAAAAATAAAATGACAATTGACAAATGACAAATGAAATAAAATGTTGTGACTGGTGACAGAACAGATAAGTACAGTTGTACCAAGAAGTTTGGATAGTTTATTATTATATTATTAAGCTGTATTAAAATTTAGAATACAGCAACATAGAGCACTACGCACTATAACCGCAAAGAAATGCAAAACGCAAAATAAAAAATAAACAATTCAAGCAACGTCGGTCGTTGGGGATTCCCCCGATCCGATTTGTCAAGTTAATTGTCATTCATAGATCTGAGCGTTTGCGTTCCTCCCGAGAAGAAGCAAACTGTATCATTTTTATTGGAATTTGATTGAAAAAATAGATGGCGCAGTTGTTTTAATTTTTTGTAACATTTTTTACTTTAGTTTTATTCATTGAAATATACCCCATTTTCCCCCAATAGCGAAAATTCTTACCCCCAAAAAATCCCCCAGAAAAAACTATCCCCCAGATTTTCCCCCATCTACTTGAAAATCCCCCAAATTTGGGGGAAAATCCCCCAATCTGGTAACACTGAGGATATTGCAGTGCATTGTGAGCATCGCGGAGTATCGTAACAATATTGCGGAGTATTATGGAGTATTGAGAAAGTATTGCGCAGTATTTTTAACTATTGTGATAACATTTAGGACTATTTCAAGGGTATTGTACCTAATTTATTTTGTTGAAAATACTTTATGGTATAGAAAAGGTTAAGGAAAACTGAACCAATAATTAAATTAATTAAAGAAAACTTTTTTATTTCGAAAACCAACAAAGTACATAGGCAATAGGCATACCCTATTTCTTTAAACTTCTATGTTTTTCTTTTATATTGTTTAGATCTTTAAAATCTAAATCAAATGGATGAAGATCCCTTCAAATGAATTGGACCGTAAAAAAATTATGGCCGTTTCCACCAACTTATTTAGGGTAGCCTTAAAGATAGATAAGTATTCCTTAAACTGACATTTCTCCATGGAAGACTGCCATTTTAGGAAATACTTATCCTTAAGGCTCCCCTAAAATAGTTGGTGGAAACGGCCATAAGTGATTTTCTACAACATCAATATAATCTTTTTCAGGCCATCTATATTGGCATGAGTTCGATGTCAGAAACTTCACCTTGCTTCTGGTTTTGTTTGTATGTAGTACTCTCCCGATGTACCACACAGTATCATAATATACTGACTGCATAGTAATATTCGGGTCAAATAGTCTTCCTCCTTCATCGTTTATTGCTTCTACATTAGCCTTTTTTGAAACTTTCATCTTCAAATTCACTTTCACTTGTGTAAATGTCAGAGTTGTCGTATCTTCCGAGGTTTCTTCTTCAGCCTCGGTCCGTTTTGTGTTTGAGCTCTTGTGATTTCTTGTGTTGGGTTTGGGACATCAGAAGCTTTTAAAATCTGGAATAGAAAATCAAGGGCCGTGGCCGTATTTAAAAAAAATAAGTTGATAATGGTGGCCCAAAGACGAAACGTCAGATTTTAAATTTGATGGTAGTATCTTGTAGGGGAGAAAAAATGGCAATGATGAAGTGACATTTATTTTGCGATATCATTTCAAATGGATTCAGAAAAAAAATAAAAACGATTTCAGCAAAATTCGGTTTTTTAAAGATATCTTCGGAATTATTCGGTATTTCCGAAAAATCAAAGCATGTCGCCACTGAGCTCAGTAATGCGCAACTTTTTCCAAATTTAACCAACCCAGTATCTCTTATGACTGAGATCCCTCCATTATTTTTTGTGCGCAATCCCAGAACCGTTCCAAATTTCGAATCAAACCAAAGCTACTCTGTGACTGTCCGTTTTTCAAATGTATTCTTAAAAAGTTCCCATAGTTCTCATCCTGAGCAGTGGGGCCGCCAGGGGGGGGGCAGAGGGGGCCCCGGCCTCCCCTGAAATTTAGCCGGCCACACCTGAAAACTTGCCCTTATGCCGGCAACAATGCAATGCAACATCAGCAGCCTATGCCGGTTAAAGCCTAGTACTCATAACTGCGAAATTCGCACTTTTTTTTACATTGCTTCGACAATTTGACGTTTGATTCACGCATAAAACGTCAAATTGTCGAAGCAATGTTAAAAAAGTGCGAATTTCGCAGTTATGAGTACAAGGCTTAATTCGATATTCGGTGGGCACAGGTACAGTGACTCTATAACCCACAGTGGCGACAATTGCTGTCTCATTTTTGATTGGTTCTAAAATCCCATATATTTACATTGAAAACACCGCCATCTTGTTCCCAACCCCTTGTTACTTTTAAATATGAATATATGGGATTTAGGTGAACATCCATCATAAATCATGGAAAACAACGTATTTGATGGACATAATAATGGTCATCAAATACGTCGATTTCAATTTTTTATGATAGATGTCCATTTAAATCCTATATATTAATATTTAAAAGTAACAAGAGGTTGGGAACAAGATGGCGGCGGGACCTCTATTGTCGCCACTGTATGTAAAGGTTTATTTAGCCACTATAGGCACAGGTTACTGCGACGCTGTTTTCGCTTTCCTGGGATTCCACCCAGAATCGTAAACTAACGAATGTGGAATTCTGTAACGAATAGAGATATTTTCGCTATTGACGTCCCCTCTCTATTGATTTCGAAAAGAGAGAAGAAAACAGCAAGTGCCATAGCGAAAGGGATAAGGATTTCTATCCGTTACACAATCCCGCCTCAGGATTGCTCATCCTCATAAAGCTTACATTTCATGCATTCGTTTTTCCGCCAATTCTATGATCCGGAAGTATTTCTATTAGTTCAATATGTTGGCGCCTAAATATTGGACCAATAGGAATTGCCAAAATAGGAATTGCCAGATCATCGGATTCGGATTGACAGAAAAACGGATGCATGAAAAGTAAGCTTTAGACGTATCTGCGTTCGCCATTTCTCGAGTCGGCAGGGCCTGCGAGTGACGTCACCACTATCAGCAGCTTAAAGCCTAGTACTCATAACCGCGAAATTCGCTCTTTTTTGACATTGCTTCGACAATTTGTCGTTTGATTCACGCCTGAAACGTCAAATTGTCGACGCAATGTCAAAAAAGAGCGAATTTCGCGGTTATGAGTACTAGGTTAAAGTATAATGGTGACGTCACTCGCAGGCCTCGATGGGTTGCTTGCGATTCAGGTTCGGCTAATGCATTTTACGCCGAAAGTTGAGGTCTGCGGCTGAAATGGTAGACACTTTCATGACTTTCAGCTCAAAAGGCATTCCTATAAGGTCAAGTTTTCTTGAGATTCCCCCAAACATATTAGTGTCGGCTTCCCATTTTTTATTCCAAAAAAAAAAAGCAATAAAGTAAGAACAAGTGCCCCCCCTAAATTTTTCTGGCCCAGTCTGGCCCCCCCTAATGTAACACCCTAGCGTCGCCACTGATCCTGAGTCGCTTTCGGAAAGTGTGATCCGATTAATCGGTTCGATCGGATTATAATCTCATCGTTCGTAAAATGATCCGAAGTCGAGTACTCGGTGGTACTCGCCTTCGGTAAGTGATCTTTGTTGACTTGGTTTTCTCGGTTAGTGCGCACTGAGCGTATTCGTGTCTTTTTCTACCAGCTTGTATAAGAAAGAGATAAAAATACATTTTTTTTTTGCACTGGTTCTACGTTCTACCAATAGAATTCGCTATTAATCTATCAGCTGTTTGATGTGTTTGGTTATGTGTTATGTTTATTTATTTATGATTTTTTTCCTTAAAGTTTTGTGTTGAGTTCTTGTGACTTGTTGTGTTTGGGGTGGTTTGCAGTTAAAGGTAAAGACCTAATCTCAAATTGTTGAAGAAAAACAGTTCATTGAGAAAAACAAACGCGGGTGCCGGCTATCATCGATTCCAATCGTTCGGAAACGTCGAATAATCTACTCTGAAACCTGGAAAACGAGCTAAACTGCGATCAGCAAATAGGTCTGTTTCTGCAGAAATCACAAACCAGTCAGAGCAAATTTCATTGGTTGAAAACATTCAGAAACATTCACAAAAAAAAAAACTAGTTTCAACCAATGAAATTCACTCTGACTGGTTTGTGATTCCTGCGTAAACAGACCTTAGGTCTGTTTTCACAGAAATCACAAACCAATCAGCGAATTTCATTGGTTGAAAATAGTCAGGAAACTGGTTGTTGGGCGATTTGGACCAATCAAAAACGCTCTGACTGGTTTGTGATTTCTGTGGAAAGAGACCTTATAGCCTACTCCATCCAGAATCCAGATTTACATTTCCGAAAGCCGCTTATGCTGGTTTTCCACCAAACAGACAAAACAAAACCCAAACTCAAACTCTTCCTCGAGGTTTTTCCAATCATTTTCAAGACTAGCGTGTTATGTTTTTGTTTTAAAACACGGACAAAAAACAAACTCAACAGTCCGTTTAGTGGAAAACCAACATTAGGATAATACAATACTATATTTCTTGAGCACTTTTATTGCATGAGTATAGGTACTTTTTGAGTTAATAAAATATAATTCATCATATTATAATTTTTGGTAAGTAATTATTTACTATAAATAGCCCCTTCACCTAATATGACACCGAGTATGACACTATTGAATTTTTGAATATGAGTATTTGATAGAAATTATTTGGCGCGAATGTTCCTATTATAAAAAAAGAATATATTCAGTTCTGTTTTTGAAGGTGCTGTTCTAAATAATTACCCCTAAGTAATTACTATAGCTCCTCCACCTAATAAGAGGCGGTTACACACGGACGTGGATGTCTGAAAACATGTACGCACATACATCAACGCACAAACAAAAACATCAATGTGTATGCAAAATATCGTCGCGTTTTTGAATGTGCAAACTGTAGAATGACGCTCAAATGAATTCTGGAACCGCTAGAAATTTTGTATGCACACTCGAAATACTGTGGCAAGAGTAGCAAGACTGACAGTTTTGTGCGAGCGTCTGTACAAAGGTGACATGCACGTTGTTGTTTGCACGTTGATGTATGCACGTATATGTATCAAGCCATCCACGTCCACGTGTAACCGCCTTATAACTGATGTGAAGTTGGCAGCCAAAAGTTAGCGGCCATTTTCCCAATGATCTCCGAACGACCAGTGGCGTTGGATAATAATTTAATTTGATCAATTCAATTTCAAATATTCCAGTGCACATCAGTTAGAAATAGTTAATAATAAATAATAATATATTTTATTTGTATTATTATTAAATTCTTTATTTAGCAAAAAAAAAGTACAGCTAATCAATTTTGGTTTTACAATCTTTAAAATTTTTGTATAATTCTATACTATAAATACACATGTAATATTCCTATACTTAATAAAACTTACACACTAAAACATTCTATAACTACATACATGATCCTAAAAACTAAAGAGGGACAAGCAACACCAGACAACACCCTGTGCAACCGTGGACCACTATGACAACACTCTGCACCTCTTCAGAAGGAAGATTTTGAGTTTTGATTTAAATGTCGATAGTGAAGTACATTTTTTTAGGCATTCTGGCAAATTATTAAAAGTGTTTAAGCCTTTAAAGAAAACTGAATTTTGGCACATCTTTTTATTTTTAGGTGCAATGAAAAAGTCATTCCGTTGCCTTGTATTATATGAATGTATTTCACGGTTATATACTAATTTGTTTACCAGATAAGACGGAGCACAGTCAATTTTAATTTTAAAAACAAAGACCAATACGTGGAATTCAAAATATTCTAGAACTGGTAGCCAGTGTAAGCACTGATGCATTATTATAATGGGTGTGTATCTAGAGCAACACAATATCAAACTCATTGCCCTATTCTGAAGCTTCTGTAATCTACTCAACTCGTTCTTGCTCAGCATGTACAGAACGGTAGCACAATAATTGAAATGAGGCAGAATAATAGTGTTATATACTGTAAGCTTTGACCAGAAAGAAAGGTAGCCTGAACACCTGGACAGATAATTAATGGAGTTACTTAATTTGGATATAACAAAATTCGCATTGTCCCTAAAATTCAATCTCTCATCAACTATAACACCCAGATACTTAATCTTTTTCACCTGCTTACAACCACCCTATTTCAATAGAAAAATTGTTCAATTTAAATGAGGATTTTATTCTTTCCGTACTTAATAACATAAATTGACTTTTCGTGGCATTAATACTTAACAGATTTTTACAAGTGTATTCGTAGATTCTGTGCAGTGACCTATTAATTCTATCAACTAACAGCATCAAACTCTCCCCTGAAGCATAGACCAAGGTATCATCCGCAAACAAGTGAATATCAACATCTGCGATATCCACAATATCGTTAATATATAACACAAAAAGCATTGGGCCCAAAATACTTCCTTGTGGTACACCATGGCCGTTTACAGCTTCCTCAGACAAAATCCCATTAATTTTCACTTTTTGCCTTCTATCTTGCATATAATTACGGAACCAGTTTAACACATTTCCTCTCAGTCCAATGATATATAATTTATTTAACAATATTACTGGATCTATAGTTTCAAATGCTCGTTGCAAATCGAGAAAAACAGCTATTGTAATATGCCCACAGTCAATCTCACTTTTCCATTCATCCAATACACACTGTAATGCCGTCTCGCAGCTATGTTTTTTTCTGAAACCTGACTGTTTATCAGTTACTAAATTATTATTTTCAATAAATTCCAAAAGCTGATTATAAACACATTTTTCCAAAATTTTTTCCACAGATGGAAGCATATTGATTGGACGAAAGTTAGAAGCTTGCATACATTTTTCTTTCTTTTGCACGGGAATGATAGTTGACAGCTTTAAATCCCACGGAACAGCAGCTTGTTCGAGAGAGGAATTTATTAAGTTTAGCAAAGGATTTTCTATACTATCATAGATATTTTTTATCAAAATAATGTCCAAATCGTCTGGACTACTTTTATTTTTCAATGAGAAACCCGTTTCTCTTAATAATTCTCTATCAATCAACCTAAAATCTGAGAAATGATTTACTGCGTTCAGTTTAATGTTAGATTTATAACTAGTTGCCGAGCGCTTTCGGCCTAGTGAAGGGCCATCATCAGGGTCGGTCTCGGCAGGTTCGTATAGTGGAGGCAGAGTTACAGAACAACGGCATGTTTTTGATGTAGAATGCCAAATTAATAAAATAAAAAACAAACAACATAAGTAAAAGGTGACAAACTAACATCCAGGAGCCCTCAACAACAATCAACTCCAAAATACATTTAGGCTTTTTCCAAAAATCTTTTAGTGCTGATTCTTTCGTAGTTTTCTTAATATTTTTTGATTTTCCTTTAAATTTGATTTTTGGAAAATGTGCCCCGTCATGAAAACAATATAGATTGACATAAAGCATATGAATCCATATGCTTTATGCCCTTCACTAGGCCGAAAGCGCTCGGTTAATATTTAATAAAGAAATTTACACCTTTACACTAAATCTGCCTTTTCTTCAACTTCTCCGGTGTACTTCCAAACCCCCTTCTCGAGGACTAATAAAGCTGAACTTTAGAGTACGGAACACTTACTTGGATAAGGTCCTTTGATTTCTTATTTCTAGCTGCTATCTTTAAAGTTTGAATTTCTCGAAAACTGCACATAGAAACACTTTCAAACTTGCAGGGTAGAAAGGGGTTTAATGAAGCTAGAACTTACTGTACGAAACATTAACTTGGAATGGGTCCTTGGTTTTCTCATTTCTGGTTGTTATCTCAAAATATTCGATTTCTCGAAAACTACACATAGTGCCACTTTCAAATTTGCAGGGTAGAAAGGGGTTTAATAAAGCTAGACTTAAGTGCATCAAACATTTACTTGGAATGGGTCCTTTGATTTCTCATTTCTGGCTGTTATCTTAAAATACTCGATTTCTTGAAAACTACACATAGTAACACTTTCAAATTTGAAGGGTAGAAAGGGATTTAATGAAGCTAGACTTTAGTGCATAAAATATTCACTTGGAATGGGTCCTTCGATTTCTCATTTCTGGCTGTTATCTTAAAATACTCGATTTCTCGAAAACTACACATAGTAACACTTTCAAATTTGCACGGTAGAAAGGGGTTCAATAAAGCTACACCGTAGTGTATCAAACATTTACTTGGAATGGGTCCTTCGATTTCTCATTTCTTCAAATTACTTCACCCAACAGTACCCTATCTCATGGTCTATAAGTACATATAGGTCAATTCAATTCAATTCAAAACAAGCTTTATTGTCAAAGAACAAAAAATCTTATTGACAAAGCATTTTTACATACTAATATTACTAATATTAAGATTAAAATCCAGTCAGTAAATAACATTAACATTGTGCACAAAAAATAAATAAGTTAGTAAATGGTACAAAAAAAGATAAGCAACAAACAAATGACAGGCAAATTTAAGACTAGGATAAATACAACGACAGTTAAGTCAAAATATAACATGCATGCAACAGAAGCAGGAAGGATTTAGTCATATATAGAGACATTTAGAAACTCATCAACTGTATAAAAGGCATGTTGAAGTAGAGTATAACTAATATACTTTAAGCTTTGCAGATGATCAAGTATTAATTGCACAGGACTATGATGACCTAGAGTACATGACACGAAAATTGATAGAGGAATACGAGAAATGGGGTTTGGAAGTAAATTTAACGAAAACAGAATATATGACTATAGGAGGTGAACAACGAAATCTGAAATTGAATAACGGACAAGAAATAAAACAATGTTCTGAATACAAATATTTGGGCATGAAAATCTCACACGAGGGAACCCTAGACGAAGCAATTAAAGATAGGAATATACAAGGACGCAAGGCAATATCCCTACTAAATGGTGTACTGTGGGATCAAAATATCAACAAAACTAACAAAACGAGAATATACAACACCATAATCAAAAGCATAGTCACGTATAGTTCAGAAGTCTGGCCACTAAAGATCAGAACCGCAAAAATGCTGGAAGCAACTGAAATGGACTTTTGGAAGAGATCGGCAGGCAGGTCAAAAATGGAGAGGATAACAAATCTGAGAATTAGGGAGATTATGGACGTAAAACACACAATAATAGATGATATAAAGGACAAACAGCTGATTTGGTTCGGACATGTACAAAGAATGGCAGATACAAGAATACCCAAGCAAATAATCGAGTGGAAGCCAGGGGGAAGAAGAAGACGCGGCAGACCAAGAAGAAGCTGGAGAAGTGGTGTAGACGAGGAAATGAAGGACAGAGGCCTAGAAGAGGATGCCTGGATTGACAGAGATGGTTGGAGATCGGGAATCGGAAGACGTAGAACGTTATAAACTGATAATTATATATATATGAAGTAGAGTGCTCCTCAAATGGCTTCGAAACCGTGAAATATCTGAGATGTTTCTGATAGTGGCAGGAAGGTGATTATAGAATTTCACGCTGTTGTAAATTATTGAGTTCTTATCACAAGAGTAGAGTGCGGAATCGGTAGCGGTATATTGTGCGTCTGTCGTGGGGAAAACGCAGTTTGGTGTACAGGGAACGAAGATATGTGTTTATGTAAGAGACTTACCGATTTAAGAATAAAAAGACATGGCAATGTTAAGATGTTAAATTTTTTTTGCAGTGTTCCACCGAGGAGGCACTAGCGATAAAGCGCACTGCTTGCTGCTGGAGTTTAAACACTGATTGAAACAGGTATTGGCTGCAACAGCTCCAAAAAAGTAGTCCATAGGAAAGGTGGGATTGTATCAATGAAAAATACACTGATTTTGCTATGGTTGCATCCAAATTTGTGGCCATAGCTTGGACACAGTAGCAACCAGAAGCAAGAACATTTTCCATCAAGGGTGACACGCTGACTGCAATGTGAAAGATATAATTCGAACCACCTCGGGATCACACCCCTAAAGCTGTAGACCTCTAACTTCCTCAGAAGAGTTCTATGACTCACACAGTCAAAGGCCTTTTAGAACGCTCAGAACACCCCCGCGGTAGCAAAGCCATTGTTGTAGTGCTTCAGGAGTTGTCCCAGAACGCGAAACATGGCATCATGGGTACCCTTCTTAGGAAGGAATCCAAATTGGGCGGAGTTAAGAATTTTATGTTTTGATAGAAAGTCCATCATACGTTTTTTGAGAAGCTTCTCAACAACTTTGGATATTGTTGATAACAATGATATTAGGCGATAATTTGATGGCTCTTTTGTATCCCCGCCCTAATGTATCGGTACTACCAATGCGTCCTTGAGACTAGGTGGAAAAATTCCCGATGAAAAGGACAGGCTGATTGCTTCCGATAGAACACCGAGGGCCTGTTCCGGAAGTTCCCTCAGGATTTTTATGGATATACCAACTGAACCGGCTGTGGACTGTTTTCTAATGGATTCAAGAACAGATCCTACTTCATGGACATCGGTGGGAAAAAATGAAAAAGACTCGTTGACATGTAAGTCTCCAAGATAACTCAATGGATCAACATTCGAGTTGACAGCTGCAGTAAGGTTATCAGCGACAGTGCAGTAAAAGCTGTTTAAGTCTTCAAGATCAATGTCAATTTCTTGAGGTCTGAGGCTTTTTTTCACCTGTAACCTCTCTCACGATGTTCCAGGTTTCCCTAGATTTATTAGCAGCATTGCTTAAACGATTAGAGTAGAATAAATGTTTAGGAGTACGGATAGATTTCCTATACATTTTTCTATATTTGAGATAATAGTTCAAGATAAAAGGACTATCAACAAAGTAAAGTGTTGACTTATGAGATTTAAAGATCTTAAGTTAGCTGCAGAAATCTTTAAGCCCTTTGTCATCCAATATTTTCGGTTGCCCTGTTTACGAAGAGGCCTTAGGGGAAAAGATTTATCTGACATTACTCAGAGTAAGATGGAATTCTTGAAGAGCATCTGCCCTAGAAAGGATCAGAAGTCCGAGCTGGATACAAATTCGGAACTTATCAAGATAGTGGTCTTCCCATTTTTAAAGGTTGTTCGACAAAACTTAGATAAGACGTAATATTTAGGGACATCGAAAGGTTCTCCCTCCTTAAGCCAATGTTCCGTAAGAAGGACGAGATGAGGGAGTTTTTTAGTTTCCAGAAAGACAAACAATTCATCGGCCTTGCCCCTTGCTGACTGAATGTTCAAAAGCATGAGCGTGACATGTTCTAAAACCATCTGCGGAGGGCCTCCTAACTGTGTTAGTTTCTCTCCTAAAAAAGAGCAGGAAGAGTTGAGATTTGTGCCACTTCCGTTACAGCTGCTATTCAGCTCTTTAAACAGACTAAGGACGAGAGGTTGAGTTTTTGAATCTATTAAGAACTTGAGGAGACCTGTCTGATGGCAAAGCGTTTGTTATATTTGGACTATTTAAAGTCATGCTTTGAGTTTAATCAATTTGCAAAGAATGTAGTTGAATTGATTCCGCAATACTTTTACCAATAAGCCAGTTCCTAGCCTTGCATTCCCCATCTATGTTGATATTGATGAAATCACAAAAGCTTTCCGATGTTCTATTAAACCCATTTAACACTTTTTCGAAATTATGGTTAAACTGTAATATGTAGTCGCTGTTGCGGCTCTTTTCTAAAATGGGACATGCAAGAAATTTGAAATTAGTATGTAAACATGTCTTCAGTTTTTCATAAATGCCACTAAATTTTGGTATTTTTTTGTTCAAAAAATCATTTGAGCCTGCAACAACAACAACATAGTCATCAAAGTCGTAAGTTATCAGTAAATTGCTGCAAACCTGCCAAGACATTATCAAAATGTGCTCTTAAAGTGCTGCTCAAGATTTTGGAATGCCAGTCTTTCAGAGCAGCTTTTATGAAATATGTTGAAACAGATAACACAGAACATGTACCTTATTTCTTTCGTAGGTGGTTTGCACGGGCAGCATTTAAACTCCATTCTGCTATGAGATATGTTACCTAAAAGCTAGATGGAACAGGGTATGGAAAGCACCAAAATTAAGATTGCGAAAAAATTTACCGATTTCGATGAATGAGGTTGGTGAGACGCACTATAGATTCTTATCAGCTTGGGAATTTCCGAGGAAATTTCGATCCGTAGACTCGTTTTTTGAAGGTAGTTTGCAGAAATTCTTCAAATAGTTTCACTGATTTCAGTGTTTTCAGCAATTACACATCGATTTCGCAACAAAAATATTAGACGAAAAAAGACCCTTGTATATGGGGTTTAACTGAGAAGTTTGTGTAATAATTGTGTTAAGAAACAGGATAATAAGCGGATAAAGCGAAACACAACACGTCGAGCTTGTACGTCGCTGTATATTTTTCAAGGTATACTTAATCTAAGTATAAATACTAATGTGTCTATTACAATTGCACCATACCTACTAACAGAATTTTTATTTATGTTATATTTCACTTCTGCTCTAACCTTTATCTCTACTATTTATTGTGTTGAAAAATAGGTACTCACATACCAAAGTTAACAGCCAAAACTAAGAAATTGAAGGTCTGTTATCGAATATTTATATGCTTTCAATTTCGACATCCCCAATCCTATTTACCTTATCAGTTTGACGTCTATGAAGTTAGCAGTGCAAAGTCAGCAGTGCAAAATTTTTATGATTAGAAAAAATTAGTGCTAATTAAGTGCTCATTAAATGCCAAGTTCACAAATTTTGTTCTCTTGTAGTTTGGGTAAGTCTGCAATCACGTTCAAAAAAAGCACATTTGCACCAAATAATTTTTATCACAAACTCTCAATTAGAGTCTTACATAACCATATAAAGATTCCATAATGTTATATTAGGTGAAGGGGCTATATAGTAAATAATTACCTAATTTTTCAAACATTTACTAGATTGAGAAGTCAAAGCTATATCCATTTCAGATTTACAATGTCCGACTTTCCTGCATTAAAAATTGCCCATCTCAGAGAATACGACACAAAAAACTGTGATATCCGTCTTCCCCTCACAATCAAAACAAAAACTGGAGAATCGATAGTCAAAGAAATTTGCGGATTTGTAAAACATGGAGAGACTTTGGCCGCTTTAAAAAATAGCATAGTAGAGAACCTTATTGAGCTAAACAATAAACAAAGTGACGAAGAAGATGATTTGTTATTGCCAGAAAAGATAACTGTCGAGTTTCTTAAAGGGAAAAAACCCTACAAGGACTCAATAGTTTTACAGGATTTCAATAAGCTGACTGATGAAAAATATATTAAAATTCTGGATCAAACATTTTCAATAATCTCAAACACGCCGCTGGTAAAAATAGTGAGACTGCCTTTGGCGATATGCGTAAATTTTCCAGTAGAACCCTCAGTCTTTAAAACATACAATGTACACAAACCGTCATCGAAATTCATATGGCTGAAATCGAAAGACAAAGAAATTTGGGAAAAAGTCGGGGAAGGGTTTGGATACAACGTAACAAAAGAAGATGCGAATCATTACTTGAAATTTTGTTGCATACCCTATAGCAAATTCAGAGTTAAAGGGCCTATGGCTGAAGCTATTTCTGAAGATCTAGTTGATATTATATCAGAATTTCCGCAATGTCCTTTCGAGGAGAGGCACAAGTTGACAAATCAAAGATTAAAAGGAATAAAGTAAGTATGCATTATATTGTTACTATGAGGGTACATAAATACTTTTGTTTTGTTTCAATTTCTGGAAAATTAGAGCAAAAGGGATAGCAGTTCTCGTGCCCACTATAATTTACTATAATAGTAGAAAAGTAGAAAAATTAAATAAATAGGTACCATTGATATGTTTTGTGATGATTTTTTATTTCAAAGTAGGTCCAAATTCAGTTTTTCAACAGTTAAAATTTTGGAAATTAGCCTATTTTAAGAATAATTGAAAAATATTTGCAGCATTTTTTTTTTTTTGTGAAATAGCAATTTTTCAAATTTAAATTTTATTCCCATAGTGGAGTGCGTGATAATGGACACGTCATGTGCTTACATTAGGTTGAAATGTGACACTGATCACGAGGAAGACATTGTGGCTAATATGATGTTTTTGGCAGTTTGGATATTGCATCATTTCTAGAAATTGTAAAATCATCAGATTATCCTTAACATTTGGAAAGTGGGAATCACTTTTTCATTGCTTCCTTCATTTTTAAGTATTTCACCTAATGTGTGCCATTGTTCGGTAGGAGCTATTTCCCAAAAAAAAAAGTTTTTCCATTTTTCTGCCAAATGTGCTGATAATTTTATGTCAAAATTAGAAGAAATAGGTCTTTAATGTAAGCCTGAGAAGACTTACGAATTGTAAAGTTTAAGAAGAATGTCTGTAGAGCGACCATAGACTGCCCTGTCTGCATGTGTGGGATTGATAATTTGTGAAACCAACCAACATGTAAACTGTTACTTTTTTATATAGGTAAACTATCACTTTGTTTTTTCTTTCTCTCTCTTGCTCATAATTCTTAACTTACACTTCAATTATAAAAATTACAAATCAAAAAAGAAAAAAAAAACACCAGTAAACGATAGGCACATACAGATGTTTTAAATTTAGGTGCTTGTAAAAAAAAAACAGAGTAATATACAGTAAAACCTCGAGAGAAACTAATTTGCATAATTTATGTAGAATTATTAGATAGGTATTAGATGTAAGAGAAATAAATCCATTTTCTAGAAGAAGTTCCTTCTGGAAAATAAAGCTAAAAAAAAAAAACTAAAAAAAGAAGGCTTTCTGCAATCCATACACAAATAAATTAGCAGTGCCTATGAGATGGGTGTTTCATTATTATGATTTTTCCAAATACCATTTGTTTTAGTGTCCGAGTTGTTTCTTACAACCTCCTCGCTGATAGATACGTAGACAGAGATCAATTTTCATGTTGTCCACCTAGAGCACTAGGAATCCATTATAGGAAGCAACTAACAATAAAAGAGTTAAAAGGCTATAATGCTGACATAATCTGTCTACAAGAAGTAGATGAAATTCATTATAGAAGCTATTATCTACAGAAGTTTAAGGAAATGGGATACAAAACCCATTTCAATAGGAAAGGAAACTGTATTCCTGAAGGATTGGTTTGTGCTTACGATATGAATAGATTCAAGTAAGGATGAGAATTTTTCATAAAGTTTATTTCAACAAAAAAATAATTGTTTAAGGCAAGGTTTCTAAAATGTACCTCTAATCAATTTGTAGGACCCTGGACTATAAACACCTTGTTCTAAGGACAGCTGTGCAACGTAAACAATTCCATGACGTTTTAACGCTACTTGATTATGATGAAGAAGTAAAACAATTATTTTTGAAACAAAACACTTCTCTGCAAGTTTTGGTATTAGAAGACAAAAATACGAAAAATATTTTGGTTGTCGGCAATACGCATCTCTATTATCATCCTGACGCTGATCATATAAGATTAATTCAAGCATTTATGACTACGACGCATTTGGGAAATATTAAAAATAGTGTCATAAGAGAGTATAAGCCTAACAATATTGGAATTGTATTTTGTGGAGATTTCAATAGTCACTACGAAAAATCGCTGTTTGGTTTTATGAGGACTGGTACAATTGATCCTGAACACAAGGATTGTTTGAAAAGTAAGTTTATTTTTTATTTTAAACATTACATATTTATTAAATTATTATTTTCTTATAGTTTCTTCTGAAGGCAAAGCCACAATTTACAGTAAACTATATTTGAGTTGCGCCAGTGGCACACCAAAATACACGAATTACACCCCAGACTTCAAAGGATGTTTAGATTATATTTTTGTTGAAACTCACAGACTTGCTACAACTAGAGTTATTCCCGTTGCATCGGAGAAGGAGTTGATGAAATATATTGGTTTGCCTAATGAAGTTTACCCTTCGGATCATTTATCTTTAGTTGTAGACCTTCAATTTAAATCTAGATAGTTTTTATTTTTATTTGTTAATTATGAATTCGATTTTTAAAATATTTTATTGTATTATTAGATAAATAAATTACCATTTTATTCACTTGGTATTATAAATTTCCAAAGGAGAATGGTCTTATTAAGTTTATCCTTTTGGTAAATTTTTATGAGTTGAGTTTGATTTATTCAACACATTCACTATAAGGTACATACCTATAATAACTGATTGACGACGATCAGAAGAAGTTGAATATGACTCGAAATACTTTTTTTTTTTTTTTTAATATTAAGGAACGGAAAACATCTACAAAACATAAAAAGGAAAAATGAATATGTATATGCCAGGAAAAGCGGATAAAACATGAGAACCACTTCTATGTGATACATATTACTGATTTTTGAAGTCAACCTACAGATACTAAGCTACTTCTTTGTACTATTAAACTAATCAAACAGTAAAATAATAATTAAACATGATCATTAACGCAGACAAAAGGTATAATAAGCCGTTAAGAGCCGGCAAATGAGAAATTGATCAGAACATTGTTGACCAGGGTAATCATTTCAATTGCCTAGGAGCTAAAATAACAAGCTCTGGAATGGAAGTCAATAGAAAGATCTCGGATAACAGACCATGAAACCACCCCAGAATCAGAATGTGTAAGGTACAGATACGTTAGTAGGGAATATCGAACAACTCGATGGGAAGCGACCACCGTGGGCGCCCTTACGTATTGCCAAGGAAGGCAAGTGAGGCTACCCTGAGTTTTTGTCCAAAGCAAATTTTCGAAAATTTAACAAATTAAATTTCATACATCAGCCTAGCTATGAATGCGGCAGTCGTTTGATAAGAACAACTGTGGCCTGTATCCAAAAGTCCCCAGAAGCTACTTTTACTATTTTGTTTCCCAAATGAAAATAAAACTACCAATATAAAAAATAAAAACATTTTATTTCATTCAATAATTTGAACAATGTAACAAATATCTGTACAATAATTCACCAATGTTATTAGCAAAAAAAACTTTGATTTCCAAATGGTTAGATAGATACGATTTTTACCAAAATTTTTACAAAATGCATAGCAATACAAGGAATTTAAATAGGGCGTTGAGTTTGTCCGATAAAACACTTGATCAAGAATTAATAGTAATAAAATCTGTTGCCAAAAATAATAAATGGAATCAAAATTTGATTATTTTTTAACATGAAGGATGGCAATAAAGAATAATCCAAATAGGTATAGTCCAAAAAACTTGTGATTTTTACTCACAAAAAAAATGTTGAGATGAAAAAATTGAGTCGTGTGTTTTGATAAAATAAGCTTCAAAAATAATTTTGACCACGTAGAAGTTGTGTGCAAACTCAAGCACGTTTTTTTTTTTTAACAATGAAAATTATTCAGGTTTTACATATTTTGAAATATTTGGTTCGACATAGTCTAAAATTTGTCGTTGGTATTTCCTGATATAGTTCTGCTGATTATGATAGATCCTTAGACAGCCTTTCAAAGCAATGAAAGTCAGCCCTCCTAGTATCGTCTTGTGAAAGTCGGATTTCACAGATTTGAAAAATAATTTTCCAAAAAATGCTGCAACAGTTGGTAATAGTAATGCTCCACAAAGTATTCTTGTGGCTGAAAACGGACCAGCAATTATAGGGAAATCGTAGTAGTCTCTGTTCGGATTGTTGGCTACATTCGGTCTAGAGAATTAAAATAATCTTTAGGTCTGTAATATTTGTACAATATTAACAAACTTACCTGAAAGATGGAAAACTTCGAATCAAGGGAATTTTGGTAATATTTTTTCTGATAAATCCTAAAAGAATGTCTTCCCAACGGATAACTTTTCCCAAAATCAAAACTAGTGGAATGGCTGGTAATACTATAATCAATAATATTGGATCTGTTTTTTCCAACAACGCTAGGCCTTCTGTTCGACCTAAAACCTATAAAGAAGTATATTTAGAAAGAAAAACCTAAATTTGGCAAATTTCTCTTACCTGCATTACTGTAATGGCACCATAGGTAACTCCACACCAATACACTCCCCCAACAACAACACCAGCTGCCATAAAAGGGCACCATTTGTAAATAATGTCATCCACTTTGTCTAGTAGGTATACCATAACGCCCATATTCGGATAAACTACAATGTACTCTGTCTTGCATTGAGGACAGGAAACTTTGATTCTAGTTCCCATTTTTTGTTTTTCGTCAAACCATCTTTGAAGACAAGCCTGATGTACCTAAAATATACAAATTGTTTAATCATTTTAGTATACCAACAAAAAAATTAAGTAAATTTCATAAGGAATAATTGCAAGTCTTCTAAATTAGTGTAAAACAGAAAATACAATATGGAAATGGACAATTAAGGACATAACATTATTCAGGATGGACAACAGTCCAGCACTCAGGTGAAAACATGAATAACACAGGAAGAACATGATTATTGATCTCGTTATTGATACATCTGTTGAACTATGGGGAAAGTTTGATATTTTTATAGATAAACCACTAGGAAATGTTTATGCTTTCTATCCTATTGACGCTAATTTAAAATTTCCAGCACTAATAAAAATCAAGGAACAAGAAATATCACATTTGAACTTGAAAAATCAATAACCCTTGGAAATAAAGACCTCAAGCGTGTGCACTTGCTCATAAGTTCGACCTGTATATAAATTTACCTGTGCTGAGTGTTTTCTTTAAACTACGTTGATTTTTTATCTATATATAAAAATCAAAGTTCGAGGGGTATCCGGATATGCGCTCCTACACCACTTATCCGATTACGATGAAACTTTGGTAGGTTGTTATGGCCATCCCAAGGAAGGTTTGTGGATAGGTTACGCATCTCGGGAAAATAAATTAATTTTGAATTAATTATTAATTTAATTGTAAACAAACTCATTCAGATTACATAACAACATAATCCAACTTTTTTTGACAGCATGAAACAAAGTTGCCATATTTCATTTATTTAGGCTTGCATTCAACCGACGTAACTTTATTATTTTTTGAATTCGAGAACGGCTGGACCGATCTTGAATTAATACCACGTATCTCTATATAAGCTGAATTCGATTGACCCAGATTAGATCGATTTGGGTTCAATTTAGGTGAACTTCTTCTGATCTAGATCATTTTTTTTTTGTTGATGAGGGTGCACTGATCCAGCCTCAATAGACCGATCTCCTATTACCTGGACTGTGCGCGCAACTCGTAGGTTGCAGGTGAGCGTCCAATGAGAAGCGAGTTTGTGACAGGCTTGTGTCATATTCTTATTCAGGGGCGAGCTCAGAAGTATTCGTTCCTTCTTTCTTTGTAACGTGTAATTCGACAAAGAGCAAAGTAATACTTTACGTATTACTTGAACTCACCGCAGTGTCGTTTGAGGTTATGTTAAATTAAACTTGACATATTCCCTTGCAATTTCATTATGCGATGTTGCCGGATGAAACATTTATCAAAATAAAAGTGCAAACGATGTTAACATACACTTTAAAGCTCTTCATTTGTCTGATTTAAGGCGTTGTAAAACACTTGACACCATATCATTTCTTTAATGTTATAATGTTCAATTCGTATTGTCTACATTTGTTCTGCAACAATACAATCTGGCTACACGGCAGCCACGAGTTGCGTGCGCATCTCATCTTTTATTACTTTCTAACTTTTATTTATTACAATTAAGCTCCCTTTTTCTATTTATGCAAGATTGGTCTATTGAACACAGTGTGGTTCACTTAAATTGAACCAGATCGATCTAATCCGGTCAATCGAATCGGCTATAGAGGAGAGTGATAGGCTATTTTTTATCCCGAAACCATGTTCGGTTGCACAAAACTCTGATACACTGGAACGCCTATAAACAGCCCAGGGCGCTCTAGAGCAGCTCTGGAGTGCTTAAAATGCGTCACTGAATTCACTGGCAAACGACTCTGATATCGGATTAAATAAAAAATTTAAATAGAAAATCAACAACAAAATTTGAAAAGAAGTGTATTATTGCAAAATGTATTGTCACGCTGGCAACGCAGCGGGTCATTAGCTAGTAATAAATACAAACAAAATAAGTCAAATCAATAAAATAACATTTTTCTTCGCAAAAATAAGAAGTCACCAAATTTTTCAAAGCATGCTCCATAGCGGCACAGAGGACGATTGAAGGGGACAATTACCTTTGAAAATAGATTTCTATTTTAAAATAAACCATAATTATTTATTTGTAAAGAGTATAAAACTTCAGTGCAGCACACAAAAGTTATATGATTGATTTATTGAGCCGTTAAAAATTTTGGAATGAAACAAAATGTTTATTATTTCCACAAATGTTTAATAGTCTATGACATACATGACTTGGCACTTCTACAGACGAAAAATATCCAATTTCAGGGTATAAATATCCTAAGTATAATGACTCACAATAAAAATGATCAGATTTAAAAATAACTTATATTGAATTCAGCTCGATTTACTGCTCAGCTCTGCAAAATAATTAACAAAGAAAAGGTTCTAGTTTGACAAGATGTAACAACTTTGTAAAAAGGCCTGGTTGTATAGTCATATTTAACCTAGAGTGTAAGATCGCTTGGTAACTGAGGTATCAAATATGGATTGCATGTTTTTCCATCGCTGCGCTTTTAGAGCTTATATGATATTTTCGTCAGAGTAAAGAATATGTATGGTGTTTGTCTGGCCCCATATCAGAAGTCCAGGCAAAAATCATCATTCAGGTTCAAATATTTTGCTTTATAGTTGAAGCCTGATTTTTTAATTTAAATAAATAAATAAATAAATAATGTAAAGATCATACTTTAATATACCTATCAATTTTTGGATATAATGTTTGAGAATTCTTCTTGATCAGTTTAAGTTTGAGATTTTTTAGGTAGTTTCTGGCTCAAAAGAACTTATTTTTGCATGAAAATGGGGCCGCGAGTTCCGCGGGTCATTCATAATCATTACATCAATTATTCTCATTCTCTCTATTACCAGGGCTGAAACTCTGTCAGAGATTGATATTGTTATTCCCCTCTCCATGGCACTTGCTTTCTTTTTCTCTATTATCGAAATCAGTAGAGGGGTAGGTAACAACAAACAAAATAAAAATATACCCAGTTCTGGGATGGAACCAAAAATGGGTTGTGTTTTCTCTCTGCAGGACCTAACCCGCCGACGGATTGTCCTGCAGAGAGAAAATACTTCTCAATCGGTCCTTAATTGGTCCGTTACCCTAATTAAAATAAAAATACTTAAACCAATTCAAAATAACTTCCAAAGTCATCAAATCATAAGACCAAAGACTAAAAAACATCTACAAAAAACTCTTCTAAGTCAAAGGTAGGCCTCTCGGTAGGCCTTCACTTTTAATACGGACTTTATGCATTTTACAAAAATGGTTTCTACTCATCTGGCAAATGATTGTAACTCTTCAAATTTACATACATTGAAGAGTTTTTGGTAACACTGCTCCTTGGTATATAGTTAATGGTAAATTATGTCCATTGTGTGTTGTGGATGTTGGGATTTATAGAATTTTTACATTTTTTGTGCACCAAGGAGAATAAAAAGAGAAGAGAAATTTATCTTCATAAGTTTTGTTTGGATTTTCTTTAAATAACATATTGATGGGGCCTCAACCTTCAACATCATACTGTTATAAGATTGCACCACTAGCAAACTATTGATGGTTCTTACCCATTTCGTAGTTCCACGACATTTACATGGTTGAACCCAAGCAGCTTCCTGGTCTTCTTCATCCGAGGCAAAGCAAACCCAGCAGTACCGTCCCGACTCCCAATAACTACCTGGTCCATTTTCGTTTACATTTTCGATTCTCATTTCGTAGTTTTGGCCGGAATTGGTGGTCATGATTGATTCAATAGGAAATCTTGTCTGGTGTAAATTTCTTTTAAACGTTTGTCTGAAACTAAATGTAAAACGACACTTTTTCGTCAAATTTTGTTATTATATTTTTCAGTTTTGTTGTAGTGTGCTGTGTGTTGTTAAGATGTTAAGATAAGATAACTAAAAAATACAATTTTTACAAAAATATCAAATTCAAATGACGTTTTTTGTCAAGGCCAATTTTGAATTGCCAGGGCAGTGTTCGATAACTTGCCTTGCGTTCGGTATTTTGATCAAAGAGCAGGGCGTGCTGAGCGGAGCCGTAATCACGTGACCAGCGAGCGAACAGAGCAGTTGAACGCTGTTTCAGAGTGCCCGAAATTTTAACCGAATTTTCGCGACGAACTACTTCCATGATTTCATGAACACAACGCTTTCGCGAGCGTTCAAACTCATGACGTCATAAGACGAACTATGGTTCCTCCTTGGATGAACTACATTCGTCGCGAAAATCCGGTTTTTATTTAATGAACGCGAACGAGCCTGCACCGAGTACACTTTTTAAATAAACGAACGGTAAATTCAAGCTCGGAGAACTCGGGTCTCGGATCAAAATACCGGACGCACGGTTGGTGTGCGGAATAACTATCACAGAGCAGAGTGATGAAATTAAAATCGTATAGTTTTCGGTGTCCGAAAATGCGGTTCTCACGTACTCCGGACAATTTGGAGTAAAATTTAAGCTGCGAAAACGTGACATATTAGCATTCCAACACAGCAGGAAACGTTGGTGGAGTAAGTGGGTTGCCTGAGCCGCGTTCTTTTTACACCTCCGAGTGACTCCGAGCGATTTCGAGTACTTTTAGAAGATGCACGATGCACGTAGCTTCCTCCACCAAACATGGAGCACAAAAGCGTTCTTTTTATTTGAGTTACTCCGAACGAATAGGTCCGAAGTTGTGACTTGTGACTGTGGTTGTGACTTGTCCGAGTCCTTTTGTATATCTTGAAAATGAAATAATTTGTGTCTGTCTCTATGTTTTTTTAATTATTACTGGGTTTTCAACTTCAAGACAAGTTCAACATCAAAAATGGTGGGATTCTAGTTATTGTGTTGAGCAATAGTTAACAATAGGTACCTGTGCAATTTGTTTTCATAATAATAATTAAAGTAGTCATTGCGATTTGAAAACAATACATTTCTTACCATAAACAATTCACAGAAATGTCTACACCTCCTACATCAGGATCTTCTAAACTAAAACTATGCTTGAAGATAATATAATATTAAATCTGTACAACAGCATTCTTATTTCACAATAAGCAATAGTTTCTTAGGATAAATCCAATCCTATTTCTTACTATAAACAATTCACAAAAATGCCTCTACATCTACATCAGGATCTTCTGAGCAATAATATGCTTGAAGATATAATTAAATATTAAATCTGTATAACAGTATTCTTACTTCACAAGCAATAGTTTTCTAGGATAAATCCAATCCTATTCTAAAAGTGTTGTTTTTTTTTTCTTCAAATTTTGTGAAGTTACCTATTAATTTTTCAAATCTTCGGGTAATTTATTATAAGTAGATGGGGCTTGGGATACTGGGTCATAGAAACCTTAATTTGTTCTTCCGGGTCCGGACGACTTTACGGACAGTGGATTTTTGAAATTATTATTTTTTTATCAGAAAGATTCAAATCGAGTTTCAAATAGTAGGTAGATTCGAGAAATAAATATTGCGGTAAACGCATTATTCAAGCAGAAGAAAAATATTCAGTTCTGTCAAAAATCGGAATTTTTAGTGACTCTAAACATCAAAGAATGATCAAATTCAAGAAAATATTTGCAACTTTGCCCCATTGCAATATAACATCTTTTTTAAATAACACCTTATCAAATTTAAATTATTTTTGAGTCTCCGAATGCTCGCTTCGCTCGTCAAAGAGAAGATCCTCGGAAATGTGAATCCACAAACAATGTGAAAAACCTTTTTTTATAATACCTCGAAATTTATATTAATTTTGAGTCTTCGATTACTCGCTCCGCTCGCCAAATCTTGAAGAGAAAATCCTTAGGAGCATTAATTCACCAAAAACATGAAAAACCTTTTCTTTGTTAATTTCCTAGCCTACAACTGTATTTTAATAATTATTGGTGCTTCAAATAGGTTAGTGCACACCTATAAAAGGCAAACAACTGATAAAATATTATTGTTTTATTGAATCTATATACGGAAAAAATTACAAAGTTATTGTCCGTAATGTCGACCGTAGCCGTTCTTACATTATTCACAAGAAGTTTTCCAATGACCTTGTATTGTATCAGTGAACATTTTTACAAATAGAATCCTTGTTTGATGTTTGGGTTTCATTTATTATTTTATGCATAAGTTTACATTGCTCTAGGCAGAGCCGGCACAAGTACTTGTATGAAGTAAATATATTTAAGAGATTTACTTGAAGTAGAAGTACAAGTTTTTTGAAATTATATTCTGATTATCAAGTAAAGTTAAAATTTACTTGAATTTCATCAAGTAATTTACTCCAAGTAAAAACATTGAGCTTCAAGTAAAGTGGCATTACTTGAAATATATTTTAGTACTTGAAGTATGTGAAATACTTTAAATAAATTAGTTGGAGCAATACTTGAAGTAATTTTGGTACTTCTTCTTCTTCTTCATCAGCCTGTACTCGTCCACTGCTGGATAAAGGCCTCTTCCAGATTTCTCCATGTCCAGATTTCTCCATTGGATCCCAACGATTTGCCTGATGTCATCTCTCCACCGTCTCTGGGGGCGTCCAGCGTTTGGCTTACTTATTCGAGGTCGCCAGAATGTAATTTTAGATGTCCATTTATCTGGGTCCACTCGTGCTATGTGGCCTGCCCATTGCCATTTCAATTTCACTGTACGAGTTAGTATCTTGGTGACCTTTGTTCTGTTTCAAATGTCAGTACTGCGTACTCGGTCTCTTAGAGTGATTCCCAACATAGCTCTTTCCATAGCCCTGTGGTACTTCAAATATCTAAAATCTGTTTAAAACAAGACAATTTATAGTAATTTTTTTAGTTATTTCATATATCAGAATTCAAAGGTACTCTTATGAAAAACTCGATTTTTCTATTTTTCAGTTTTGCTAAATTTTGACTTTACCAATTGATAGAGCGGGTCCAAATTAGTGGAAAACAACCCTGACACCATTCCCAAATGACCATTTTAAGCAGAAACAAAAATAAAAAGAAAATCCTATTTTTGGCTCCAGAAAATTTTCAAAATCTTGACGTGGTTATGAATAATTGCCCATATCTTTGGTAAATTTTGAGCAAATTGAATTAAATTATATACCACTGGAAAGAGCATTAGATTCTCTATAAATTAGTGCAAAATTGAGTTTGATAGCTCAAACAGTTTTAGAACAATTGAGCCTCAAAATTGACTTTCAGTCCAAATTTTGTCAAAAACTTCAAATTCGATTTGCTCAAAAACTATAAATCTGGGAATATTGTAAATTACAGGCCATTTAGAGTTTAATAAGAGCTACAAATGCTGAAAATTTCAATGCAATTTGCCTAACGGTTACCGAGCAATTGAGGTTTGAATATTTTGAAATCAGAATTCAAAGGGTTATGAAAAACTCGATTTTTATATTTTTCAGTTTTGCTAAATTTTGACTTTACCAATTGATAGAGCGGGTCCAAATTAGTAGAAAACAACCCTGACATCATTCCCAAATGACCATTTTAAGCAGAAACAAAAATAAAAAGAAAATCCTATTTTTGGCTCTGGAAAATTTTCAAAATCTTGACATGGTCATGAACAATTGCCTATATCTTTGTTAAATTTCAACCAAATTGAAATAAATTATATACTATTGGAGAGAGCATTAAATTATCTATAAGTCCGTCGAAAATTGAGTTTCATAACTCATAAAGTTTTTGAGTCATTGAGCCTCAAAGTTGACATTTAGTCTAAATTTTGTCAAAAACTTCAAACTCAATTTTCTCAAAAACTATAACCCGGGAAATATTGTAAATTACGGGTCTTTTAGAGCTTGATAAAAGCTACAAATGCTGAAAATTTCAATGCAATTTGATCAACGGTTACCGAGCAATTGAGGTTTGAATATTTTGAAGTCAGAATTCAAAGGCGGTACTCTTACGAAAAACTCGATTTTTCTATTTTTCAATTTTACCTAACTTTGACTTCACCAATCGATAGAGCGGGTCCAAATTAGTGGAAAACAACCCTGACATCATTCCCAAATGGCCATTTTAAGCAGAAACAAAAAGAAAAAGAAAATCCTATTTTTGGCTCTGGAAAATTTTCAAAATCTTGACATGGTCATGAACAATTGCCTATATCTTTGTTAAATTTCAACCAAATTGAAATAAATTATATACTATTGGAGAGAGCATTAAATTATCTATAAGTCCGTGCAAAATTGAGTTTCATAACTCATAAAGTTTTCGAGTCATTGAGCCTCAAAGTTGACATTTAGTCTAAATTTTGTCAAAAACTTCAAACTCAATTTTCTCAAAAACTATAACCCAGGAAATATTGTAAATTACAGGTCTTTTAGAGCTTGATAAAAGCTACAAATGCTGAAAATTTCAATGCAATTTGATCAACGGTTACCGAGCAATTGAGGTTTGAATATTTTGAAGTCAGAATTCAAAGGGGGTACTCTTACAAAAAACTCGATTTTTCTATTTTTCAATTTTGCCTAACTTTGACTTCACCAATCGATAGAGCGGGTCCAAATTAGTGGAAAACAACCCTGACATCATTCCCAAATGGCCATTTTAAGCAGAAACAAAAATAAAAAGAAAATCCTATTTTTGGCTCTGGAAAATTTTCAAAATCTTGACATGTTCATGAAAAATTGCCCATATCTTTGTTAAATTTCAACCAAATTGAAATAAATTATATACCATTGGAGAAAGCATTAAATTCTCTATAAATCCGTGCAAAATTGAGTTTCATAACCCAGAAAGTTTTCGAGTTATTGAGCCTCAAAATTGACATTTAGTCTAAATTTTGTCAAAAACTTCAAACTGAATTTTCTCAAAAACTATAAACCAGGGAATATTGTAAATTAGAGGACTTTTAGAGCTTGATGAGAGCTACAGAGGCTAAAAATTTCAATGCAATTTGCTAAACGGTTACCGAGCAATTGAGGTTTGAATATTTTGTAATCAGAATTCAAAGGGGGTACTCTTACGAAAAACTCAATTTTTCTATTTTTCAGTTTTGCTAAATTTTGACTTCACCAATCGATAGAGCGGGTCCAAATTAGTGGAAAACAACCCTGACATCATTCCCAAATGGTCATTTTAAGCAGAAACAAAAAGAAAAAGAAAATCCTATTTTTGGCTCTGGAAAATTTTCAAAATCTTGACATGGTCATGAACAATTGCCTATATCTTTGTTAAATTTCAAGCAAATTGCAATAAATTATATACCATTGGAGAGAGCATTCAATTCTCTACAAATCCGTGTAAAATTGAGTTTCATAACCCAGAAAGTTTTCGAGTTATTGAGCCTCAAAATTGACATTTAGTCTAAATTTTGTCAAAAACTTCAAACTGAATTTTCTCAAAAACTATAAACCAGGGAATATTGTAATTTACAGGACTTTTAGAGCTTGATGAGAGCTACAGATGCTAAAAATTTCAATGCAATTTACTAAACGGTTACCGAGCAATTGAGGTTTGAATATTTTGAAATCAGAATTCAAAGGGGGTACTCTTACGAAAAACTCGACTTTTCTATTTTTCAGTTTTGCTCAATTTTGACATTACCAATCGATAGAGTGCGCCAAAACTGTTGTGAAACAACCTTGACATCATTACCAAATGGCCATTTTGAGCAAAAAAAATAAAATAAAAAGGAAATCTTATTTTTGGCTTGAGTCTATTACCATTGTACAGAGCTAGGTCGGTGTTCATGAGTTGTTGTGGAGGTCATTCAGATAAAAACCACTATAAATCAGTGCTGTGTTTCATCAGCAGATGTATAGTAATGAGCAACAATACCTGAAAACTTCAAACTTATTATATAGAAGGAGTATAACAGAGCCCCCCTGTTGTACTCCTTATTGGTTTGACCCAAATTCACTCTTCTATTCAGCCATTTGGTAATACTGACTCCTTCCTTTGATTGAATGCTTGAAACACCTATTGCCCTGTATTTATTAGCATCTGTTTTCTCAACAAACTTGAAGATAGAACTTATTTTGTTTATTTTAAGCGGTAAAACACTGCACCTGTTTGTCTTGTGATAGATAAGCAATCTATCCCTCCTTGTTTTATTTATTATATCATTCCCTACGTTAGCAAAATATTTATTTTAACAATTAATAATATCTCTAGGTTTACTTATCACAGCATGCCAATTTCAACAATTTTTGTTCTATTATTTACAAAACTATTTACACATATTTCCATTGCCTTTTTTGGTTGATCCATGCTTCATTCCAATTTTTCCTAAGTGCATATTTTGATTTGATTTTACTCTTTAATCTTTCAAACTCTAAATCATTCCTCTTAAATGGCTTCTTTCTATATATTTTATCTTTTTTTTTATATGATCTAGAAGTGGTGATCACGTATTGTTTTGGTATCATTTAGTAGTTTTTAGGTTTTTACATACATTGATTCGCTTTTTGGCATCTACTTTTTTCGATTTGCCCCTTCTACTCGAACCCTGATTGAATTGTACATTTCTTTGTGATCTACTGCTCCAGTTAAAATTTCAGACTTGGGCTTATAGATTTCCAGACTGATACGTCTTCTATGGTAGTTTTATAGGTACTTACTTACTATATTTTATTTTTTAATCTCATAGGTCAACATTAAAGCCTTCTATATTAATATGATTTTTTTTTAACTTTCAGCTATCAATCCCTTCATTATTCTTATATGGCAGTAATGAAGAACTTGTGGACACCGATGACCGAAGGATGCAACCTGGGAAAAAACCTTTGGGAACAATAATTGAAAATCCAACTGAAAGTGTTGAAGTACCCGAATATGCCAATGTAGGTTTGATATTTATAAAAGAAAATTTGAGAACATGGAGAGAAAATTCAATTTTGAAATGGAAAATAGAACAATTTGAAATTTGTCAAAAATTACTACCGCAACGTATCCAATTTAGAAAAGCAAAAAAAGAAAGATAGTGTATGTTTTGAAGAAGTAAAAATCACCTTTCAAGACTTTTTATCATCAAGTTGAGATAAGAAAAAAAGCAAAAAATCGTTGCCCAAAGCTTTTACATTTAGGTGTCCCCTCAAAAAGACCATAGGGAACCAATTTGGAAACTCAGAATGGAATTTACAGGATTGTGCGTGAAATGGCGTGTATTGGGAAAAAAAGACTCCAAACATTTCAGCTAGGAATTCTCATGTCGAGTAAATATTTCCAAGACTTGTTTGCTACCATGGAGCAAGAATACGCTATCAAATATCTTTTCAACACCCAGGCTAAAGAAAGACTGCTTGGAAAATTTCCTTTGTCAAGTATGTACTGCAAATAAGTTAAAAGAAAAACAATTTGATATATTATATATTTAATTCCAGATTAGAACTCAAGGAGGATATGGTCGCATTCGAATGTTGAAAGTTCTCCAGGTCTAGAAGATGACGAGTACTTTTTGGCTAGGCCAATCGAGCAGACATGAATGAGGATATTGAAATTGCAGATGAACAACTTAAACAGTTTGGTGATGATAAGATGGACACTAACAGTACTATTTCATTTTGCAATATTAATTCACAGATGTCTGAGAAGGGAGTTTCGGAAAAAGATGGTTTAACTTATGCTGCTGGTTACATTGCTGAGATACACAAGGAAAATACACTTCTTAAAGACACTTTCCAGCTAATAAACTAACATAAAGTTTATCTGTGCAGCTGTATGTGTAAAGAACGCGTGATGGTGGTTGGTTATTCTAAAAATGGCATCAAAAATTGGAGATACAAATTGCAAATTGTTAAAACCTCTACAAATTTATAGCGGCAATAAACTTGCAAGGAAAAAAATAGCAACTGTAAAGCGGCCTTTAAAAACAATTACCATTGATACCTGTATATTATGACAAATTAGAAATGTCATCTTATTAAAAACTCGAAATTTCTTCTTCTGATTTTGCTGCATTTTATGGTAATAACTGGAACTGTTTTTATTTATTAATAGTGTCTAGCTACAACAACGAGCCTGTGAATGTGCGGAGAAATATTTCAAGTAGAAAAGTAAAGGGATCAAGAGTTACTTCGTATTATAAAGCTGAGGCATAGCTTTCCATTTGTTTCCTACCCCACAAATTTAAAAGGTAATACATAATTTGCATATTATTTATAGCGAAAGAATGCACCTTAAAACTGCCATGGCATTTGTAAGGAAAATCAGTTTTGTTTATAAATTTCACTGTTAGGATTCACATACTCCCATATTGTTTCCTACCTGGATGGAGGCATTTATAGTTACAGCTGCAACAAAAAGGATATTCCACATTTAACGGCTTTTGCCAATCGTTCTACTCCCTAAGAGTAATGGCTTTCCTGCAGATTCATAATAAATATTTTTTTAGCGAATGCCATGAAACAAAATGCTGTTAAACATGCTTCTAAGTATTTCATTTCTGGGCAGTTTCTCTAACCATGCCTGAAGCTCAATTATTTAATTTTTCGATTAAACTAAACATTTGCGTTTAAGCTGAGTTTCTTAACATCGGCTGCTACCTATATTTTACGATTTTATTGTAGGGACAGGAATCAATAACTCTTCAGAAAACACAACAAATTACTAAATACAATTTTAAGAAGGGCACTAATATTTTCAGCCGTTTAACCTAACGAAAGACAAACCATCATGACTGGAGAAACATCTTCCCTAGAATATACTGCCGAACAACTTGCAGTGGTCGAACGCATAAGGTGAAAAACAGTCCTTAAAATAAATCCCTATACCCTATAATTTGTTCTTTTTTAGCGAAACTGATAACTACTACGATATTCTATGCGTCAGAAGAGATGCCCCGACTAGAGAAATTGTTCAGTCTTACAAAAAAATTGCAATAAAATTACACCCTGATAAAAACCACGCGCCAGGTTCTGGAGAAGCTTTTAAAATTGTAGGCAAAGCTGTGAATGTATTAAGAAACGAAGAAGGGCGTCGAAAATATGATTCTGATTTATTTGTTCAAGAACTCGGAACATTTAAAAGACCTTTTCAACCGCCTCGTTCTCATAAATCCTCTTGGGCAACATCATATGAATCAGACTCAGATGAGGACTTCGATGAGAAGGCAAGAAATTTTCCTTATTATTAATATCATTAATAATTATTAAAAAACAATATTTTTTCAGATTCAGATCGAAGATACGCGTTTACTGGTATTTGGAGTATTATTAGCACTTGCAGCTTTCTTATTGGTGCTGTTATTTTATAATTTTTTTGAAAAGCCCCCTTACAGCTTGTTTCTTTCCAAGTGAGTAGAATTATTTTTCATGTGATTCATGTTGAAATACAATAAACTGAATAAACATCATTTTTAGAGAATATCCAATTATGAGACAAACCCAGATACTCAAACTCCGTTATTACGTTAAAGACAACTTCCACTCCGATTACTCAAGATTTCTAAAAACTGTTGAAATAGCAGTCAAAGAAGAGTATGTTGACATCCTGAAGCATCAGTGTTACCATCAAAAAAGCGGCTATCAATGTTTTTGGTATTTTGTGTATAATATTTTACTCAATTTGATTTACCTTATCAATGCCATTTCTAACTTTTTTTGGAATGACGATGAATTTGAATTTTAATGCCAGTTATACAATATTTTATTCGTACTTTTGTTAAATTGACAATTTCGGTAACTATTGAAAAATAAATTGAGATGTGAATGTCTTATATATTTATTTTTCTGATTTATATGTAAGATGAGGTCATGATAAATATCCAGCAATCAAACAGAGATACAGTGTAACTTCTCTAACTCAAACTTCCCGAACTCGAAATATTCTCTAAATCGAATTTTCTTCACAAAAAAATTGGTTTTTACAACCTCACTATGTATTTTTTTCTCCATAAGTCGGATTTCTAATCTCTATAATTCGAATATTTCCAAACCTCGGACTAAAATTTAATCGCAACCCTGGCGGCAAGTAAGCGTAACTCGAATTTTTCGGATGAGCATCTACTGCATTTTGTGCACTTGGGGAAATTACCTATTCTCAGTGACCAGCGGCGACAGATAAACTTGTCTTGGTTTATATAATGTATGTAACTACTTTTTTGTAATACATACATAGTATAAATTCAAATATCCTCAATTTTGTGTATTTTTCCATAAATCGAATTTTCCGGAACTCGAACTAGACTTCCTGTCCCTTGAAGATTCGAGTTAGGGAAGTTTCACTGTATTTAATTTGTGAACAAATAAAGTCGATCTATATAATTGGAGGAACTAATCATTTTTGTTTCAATTTGCATTTAAAACCAGAAAATATTCTAAATTTGTTTCAAACGTGTTTTCTTGTGCCTTTTTCTATTGAAATATCAACAGAAACTGTCCTGAACGGGTATAAGATTGCATTTCAATAACGTTTTTCTCGATTTTTTATTCGCCGTGTCTAGCCTCCCGGCACCGGTATTCATACGAATCCCGGTTATGACGCGTTTTAAATGACGTCATCAACAACCACCGGTAACTGTCGTGGATCCCGGCTATTGCTATAAACGATGTTGAAAATTATTATGTTCATTGGTCTTGGGGCAGATTTATTATGAAGAATAAAAAAAGTGAACAAAGTCGGGCGCGATAAGCTTTTATAGACTTTGCTTTTATTATTGGAAAGTAAAACTATGACTTTCTATTATATGTACAGGGTCATTTTGAAAGTTTGTACAGCATTTGATCTTGTACAGCAACGCCGTTAATGTTCAGCAAGATTATACAGGGTGCCCCAAAATTAGAGGTTAATATTTTTACTGCGGATTCTACATCTCAAATTAAGAGCATAAATTCCTATAAACATGGGTCCAAGAGTACCCTATTTCAGAGATACAGGCTGTTAAAAAAGCTATAGTCCTGAATAATGAATGAAAATAAACCATACTATTCCCTTTTTAAACCCCTACTACGAAAAGTGGATTAACGAAGTACTTACCACTCTAATACCATTATCACAACAAGAAACAATAATACACAAAAGCTATTCCGGAATTAATCACAGCTTCAAGCAGCAAGAGAAACACGACTTTGAATTTTGAATCCAATAGCCGGGATCCACGATAAATCCCGGCGGTCGTTGATGGAGTCATCGAAAACGCGTCATAACCGGGATTTGTATGAATACCGGTGCCGGGAGGCTAGACACAGCGTTTTTTATTTCTTTTCAATCAAAATCTATTCCCTGTACTTAATCTTAAATTTGTTGCACAAAAACCTAAATGGAAGTCAATAATAATATGGACATTGATAAAATGATATGAGAACGGCCTTAATTTTATTGATAAAGCAAGGTAAGATAATTGGCATTCCACAAGACACATAGTTATGGGTCCACTGCATTTCTTCGTATACTTATATAAATTCCTAGACTAATAATTCCACTTGAGACTGATATGGTAGTTTTATATGCTGATGATAACATCGTTGTTTTTGTGGGGGAAACATGGAATGAGAGATACGGTAATATATCTCGGTCTTGATAAAATAAAGAGGTGGGTGGACTCTTTTAAACTCACTCTGAATGTTGACAAAACCAACTGCATAGCTTACTTCCTAAGAAATGCAAATCGTCCAGTTTTTGATAACATTAAAGGTTAAATACACTAAGTATTTGGTAGTAATCATCGATCAGAACATCGAATGGAATGTATTTGATGTTGTATTGTAAAGAAATATTGAATAAGCCACTCTTGATTTGTGTATATATAGCTCTTGTTGAAACCCTACTGAGATATTGAGATTTGCTATAATCGGATGGGGAAGTTTATTTAAAAATACATGGAAACCTTCAAAAAGTCTAATTGGTACCATTCTGATTACTGAGATAAACTGTTGCTCAGAGAATTAATTCGAGACCCAAACGCAAAACAATTTTGTCAGTTTCAAAGAATCTATGAATAACAAATTGACGTGCCTCAAAACATCAGATTATTTAATTCCCTAAGCAGCCGAAACTTTGTCGTGGAATAATACAGCTCATCACTTCTTGACAACAAGTTTTGGAAATTCTATAAAAATAATAATTTTACATTTGGACTTCTTCAAAAGTATCCTGATGATACTCAGAAAAGAACACAAATTCAGGAATGATGCGGCATAAAGTTTCTTCTGCATTCATGTCATGTTCCTCTCCTGAAACTAAATAGGTACTATAAACTCTTCAAAAAGCGTACCTACCTACATGGCAGTCACTTTTACTCTACTACAAATCCCTAGTTGTGCTACTAATATTTAAATCTTAGGTACGTCTCTTGAGTATCTTGGTGCTGAAATTTACTACTGAAACTTCTTGTCAGTTGCAATGAGAGTGAAGGCTAACAGAATAGTGATTCTTCGATCAAAGATGTACGGCTTTCATAGCTGGTAATTTTACAGCACCATTCTGACTTGTTTTGCTTTACGTTGTCTATTCGATTTAATGTTTAAGGGTGGAACGCAGACCTAAATTTTATTTTAAATATAAGTAGGTATATATGAGAATTGTTAAAATCAAATTTTTTGTTTGTTTTTGGTACCTACATACAGAAATTAGGTTTTCTAGGTACCCACCATACCACTCATGGAATTAATATATGCCTATTATACTGTGCAAAAAAGCTGTACCTAATATCCTTATTTTGTCATATGTTGAGTAGGTACTGTAATATATTGATTATTGAATAGATATAGATAGGTACCGAAATAATCAATAGCCCATATGATATGCTATTTCTATTTGATATTAACACGATAATTCAGAAATAGTAACATTGGCTATTGTAAATGTTGATGCCGAATTTGTATAACTTGGTTATAGCGTTCATATGCAAAAATGCCTACGATGGTAAGAAATCATAAATGAACCTAAAATGTAGACATACTATGTCACATTATCGAAACTTCCCAAAAAACACTGTCCTCCACCCTGCTCCTGTAAAGTGTTGCTGATATTCATCGCAAATAACGACCAATGTCCAATGTTCTCAGTAGCATTTGATCGTGCCTCCATTTTGAAAACGTCTTATGGTTTTCAAAGCAATGTACTTAGGTACCTATATCTTTTTATCCCAGGATCCACCAGATAGGTACCTATCCACAATTACCATTATATCAAGTTCTTGTCGCAAAAATCCAACCAAATGAATAAACCGAAACAGTTCCAGACCAAAGCTTCCAAATTCTAACAATAATATTCCCTAATAAGGTATTCTCCAAGACCATACAGCTTTTATGCCACAACTCACAACAGCGACTTTTTTTTTGTCAAGTCCTAGTCCTGGCAGGGATCAAAATTTTTGTCGAAGAAATAAGACCTTCCTTTTCATGTCAGTTTCCTTGTGTATCTACAACCACGAAGGACTAAGTAATCACCGTCAAAAGAAAGGCCTTATTTCTTCCATGAAAATGTTTAAGATCCGGTTCGCGTGTGATCATCATAACATCGATAATAGGAGAGGGCGAACTGTAATTCGTATTTGCCATCTATGATATGAGGAGTAAGTTCTTACTAGTAGTAGGTACAAATTGCTGCACATAGCGCGAAAACGCGAATCTCACAGTCCGGTTTCAGTTTGTTGGCTTCCCGGAAAATAGAATAGAAAAAAAATGTAAAAAGTCTGGTATCAAAATTTTTAGAAAAATAAATAATGCGAGAGATTTCTTTAATTTTTGCTGCCTTGGGGATGTACAAGGACTAGGAAGCTCTCCATTTCTTTATGAAAATTAACGAAAATGTTGAAAATCCAGTTCGCGTTTGATCAAGTAGCTACTCCTATTCTAACTGAACAGCGACTATAAACATTTATATACAGTGGCGAAAATAGAGGCCCCGCCCTTCCGCTCCGCAGCCATATTCTTGCTTACTACTTGCTAATTTTAAATATGAATAGGTATATAGGATTTAAATGGACATCTTTCATGAAAAATTAAAAACAACGTATTTGATGACTATTTTGAGGTAGGTAGGTACATCAAATACGCTGTTTCCAATTTTTTATGATAGATGCCACATCGGGAATATCTCTTAAACAAAAAATACTATCAGGAAGATCTCAAATACGTATCGGGGGATTGGAGGGGGAACCAAAATGAAGCATTTTTTGAGTCACCCCGCCTG